TGGTTTTTGTTCTTTACTAAGTGTTTAGCTACAAAAAGAAGAGCAGAATAGTCCTATAAAGCATTTTTGTTACTGGCGCTATATTTCATATACTCTATTTGTTTATGTTTTTAAGAACAACACATATGGCAGGAAGTACAGAATTGCCCCAGAACCTGTAATTTATGTGTCCTTATTTAAAGTAATGAGCTGGCAACCCTGACTGTATGTTGGCAGATTCAACATTGGTGAATTCATTCCTCCTACTGTTAGTATGTATCAGGTAATTTGACTATCTAGTAGGAATGCACCAATACCAGTATTGGTATCAGTACCGATACTGGGCATTTTCACGAGTACTCTTGAAAATGCCCCGACACTAAGCACCGATACGAGCGCTTTAAAGTTTTAAACAGGAGCCGCTTCCATAAGGTCCTGTGCTTGCTGGGACCTCAGGGCAGCCTGCTGGGGACCTGCGGCGGCTGTCCTTTTCATAGTGCTGGCCGCACGTCTCCTAATTCTCCTTCCCGCCACCCACAGCCCTGATGACTCCCGCCCGTACAGGCCTGATCCAACCCTGCACAGCCTCCTGAGACCCTGTTACAGCACTGGTCAGACACAGCACAGCCTACTGAGACGCCACACAGCCCTGGTGAACAACAGAGTATGTACCTTCATATTATTCTGCATAGCTGTATAATGTATTGCTGGGGTTTGTAATCCTCTATGGCTAGTGGTATTCTGCATTGCTGTATAATGGATTGCTGGGATTTGTAGTCAGTCTACAGCTTTGAGTCAATGGCAGAACTACCAGGGGCGCAGCGGTTGCAGTTGGGACTGGGCCCTGGTGCTCCACCACTGTCCTAAAATCATTAGTCTGTATTGTTTTAGAAAAACTGTCACATGGCACTAAAAAAAGGTATTGTAATTGGTATCGGTGAGTACTTGAGGAAAAGTATTGGTACTCGGATTCAGTCTGAAAAAAAAGTTATTGGTGCACCCCTAGCAAGTAAGACAATAAAAGATGAACAGCAGCATATATTGATCTCGTCTTTACATACAGAGCCAGCAGTAACATCCATTATGTCAAGGCTAAATAATTCCCAGGAGCCAGGTAGCCAATGCTTCCTAAAAAGCCTAACCTTTGAGGTTTTCTTTTAGATGCGGTCAATGAGGCTGACTCCTAAAAAAAAAAAAAGAGATTCCACATAAATTTGTCCACCCCTGCTTTGTCAATAAGAGTTTGTTTCTGCCTTGTTCATAAATAAGGAAATAAAAAATGGGTAAGTAAGGAAATAAAAAATGAAGACGTACATGTAATGGCTTTGTCTTACAGAGCCAGCAGTAACATGCATTATGTCGTTAGCAGAGCTTGTACTATGCTTTCAAGGGCAACAGTAATGATAAATAATAGTACTCAATACTCCCATTGTTTCTGCCTTACTTATAGAAACTGGCGATTGCAAATTGTAGAGATTTTTTTTTTTAAATTGGGATTCACAGGGATGCTTGAAGGTGTTTATTATCTCAATATCATTGTACTAGGAATCAGCTGCTTTTCTTGCTAGTAGACCCTGTGGATGAAATGGGTAGCCGCTGGCTCCCTTGGTACATTTACTTGATGATTGTGCCAAGGGATGTAGGTAGTAAACCTGGCATAGGCTGTGCTGTTTACATGAGCACCTAAAATCATTTTACCTTTCCCCCCATCAGCTTACAACATGGCAATCTAGTTTCATAAGTGGCATATTTGGTATCATTTTGATATTTTTATTCATTTTTCACTTTTTTAGTTTGAAAGCAGCTTACATTAATGAATAAGACAAAGTTATGAGCTTTTAATTTTATTTTTATTCCTGCCGCTGTCTCAGCTTGCCAACATTTGAACTGGTCTTACCTGTTTGTGCAGCATTTCTCAGTTAGGAGTGAAACTTATAAAGGTCTTTGTAAGAGGAAAACGCAAAGTGACTGACTGACTTATCTTGCATCAGCTAAGTAAACCTGTCATCAACTTGGAACCTAGCACATATATACCATGTTTCCCCAAAAATAAGACCTCCCCCGAAAATAAGACCTAGTACTATTTTTGGGAATTGCGAAAATATAAGACCTACCCCGAACATAAGACCTAGTTGTGACCATTCCCAGGGCCGGGGTTTGCATAAGGGGGAACTTGAAGAGCTGCGGGAGAGGCAGGAGAGAATCAGCGGTGCCAACGAAGCCAGCGCTAGAGGAAGCGAGGCGGCACAGGAGGGAGCAGAGCCGCATAAGCCGATGTCTCCTCTGTAGCGTCGGCACCTGTCACAGGCGGAGTGATACCAAATGCACTCCGCCTGTGAGGAATCTGTAGTGAAAGTGCGGTTCGCTCATTCTGGCCAGCGATTGGTTAGCAAATTGCTCTTGGAAAGGTACGGCACCCCTGATTGCCCTGATCACCATATTTTTGTACATGAATACATGTAGACTTTTCTACATGAATAAGTGTGGATTGTTGTACATTAAAAAAAAATAAGACCTACCCCGAAAATAAGACCTAGTGTTTGGTTTTTTTGAGCCAAAAAAATATATAAGACAGTTGTCTTATTTTCGAGGAAACACAGTAGTTATAAAGCAGTTAATGTGATATTCGCCAAACAGCTGCATGTGTTTTAAATTGCAATGACCAAAGTAGAGTATTCACGGTTAGATTTTGTTTGTTATGCGTTTAGATGAAGCACTGAGATCTTGAGGAATGCTGAATTAAGTTTTACTTAGCAGGACATTACATGTGAATACAACATTGTGCAGGAAGTGTGTGTGGGAAAATTTCCTGTGTATCATAGATAAGCATGCATAAAGAGACTAACATTGCACTACGGCGCCATCTACAGCTCAAAATACATAACAGTACATTAGAATATGCTGTTGCATTTCCAACAAATTTTTGCACGAACGTTTGTACGGAAAATACAGTCGGAACGTACAATACTGGCATCAGAAACTTGCTCATTGTCGTTCAAAATGTTGTTCAATAAAAGCAAACATTAAAACATTTTACTTTGGAATGAATGGAGTTTCTGAGTAAAAAACAACATTCACCGTTACAAACTTGTTTGATTGAGAAAATTTTTACAACATGCTCCTTCGAAAATTTTCGGGAACAATGTTGTTTTCATCTGTCAATTGCACCATACTAATTGATAGATATTCGAACGAACGCTACGAAAGCGACTTCTTCGTACGAAATTTTAACCGTGCATACCCGACTTTATTCAGCTACCGTGAAGTCACATTCACTGCGTTACAAAAATGCCCCATAATGTCACTATGTAAAGCAACAGCATTTTATTTATTTTAAACAAGCAGTCCTTGAACTCTTCTGAAGTTGCTGGGCCTAAAAGGTGTAATCTGGGAAAAGAATATTATCCGTCTGCTGCAGGGGAGAAGGAGCATTTGAGAGGTGAGGGTCAGCATTTGTACACCCAGCATAGAACAAATACAAAAAGTAAGAAAAAGAGGCGCCTTTCCCTCGTGTAATATTGTATGATAAAGGAATTTTTATTGTATAAAACATCCATTTACTCACAAAAATAGTTGAATTTATGTGCATCCATAAACCACAGCAGTAAACTTTGCCATCATGAAAGCCAGAAGGAAACACTGACATGAGACCCAGTTCACATGCAGCAGCTGCGCCTCTTCTTTTTTTCTTCCTTTTTCTTTTTTATATACATGATCTGCGGAGGGCTGCCATCCCTTGTGCAGTGGTTGGTGATAATACCACGGGCCAAGTGGTTTCTCCGTTTGCTATTGGCACTGAAGTATGTATGTGACATACCGTAGAACAAAAACTACTACATAGGTATTAGGCCCCATTCACAAATAGGTGGATGGGATGGAATCCTCCATGAGACTGATGCAATTCGCTGTGGATGGTAGGCACTATACAATACAATGATAGCTGCCACAACATACAGCTATTTGCAGGCCATTCGCATGTAATCACACATGTTGCGATTACATGCAGATGACTTTACCTGGATACAGACTGTTTGTGTCCATGGGCGATCATCCACAGGAAATTGGCCACATTCACAAGTGTGAATGGGGTCTTACGATTTACATCATTGTAAAGTGTAAGGGAGGAATTTTATTCCAGGAAGAAGGTGATGCCTGGAAAAAGATAGTGTTGGCCGTTGTCCGGAATACACTGATGTTTTTGAGAAGTACAATATATTCAATGCTAGGTCCACTTTTACGTTATCACCCTAACCATCCCCTTCACTCTTCCCAAGACCTCTTGCTCCTTCATCAACTCCTCCCATGTTTCCCTCCAGGACTTCTCTAAATTCCCTCCCATCCTTTGGAACTCCTTACACCAACCTGTCCGGTTGTCTCCTACTCTGACTGCTTTTAAGTGATCCATTCAAACTAATTTCTTCAGGGAAGCCTATCCCGCCTCAACCTAACCACTGAACAGTCACCTTTCTCAACAATTTATACCCACACAGCTACCTCCTCATGTATCACTTGCCCCTCCCTTTTAGATTGTAGGCCCCCTCTACCATCTTGCCATGATTTGTATTGTAACTGTAATGTATTCCTTACATTGTAAAGCTCTGCGCAAACCTTTGGTGGCTAATATGCCAACCATTTGTGATTTGAAAATTGTAACACTTTGGCAGGTAGGCATTTCCTAGAGGTAATTTTCAATTTTGCAAGGAACCTACCTTGTCTACCTTTGTAAATACCTTTGTAACGTTTATATTATGCCAAAAATACAAATGGATACTATTTACAATTTATATTATCACACTTACAGTCATCCTGTATTACAAAAGGTAAGGTTGGATTAACACAAACTGCTGCTAAATAGCGTGACAGTTGTGATTCTGTCAATGAGTTGTCTATTGTTGGACTTTTTAGAACCAAGCACAGAAAGTGATTAGCTTTGGAGAGCAGTAATTGTAGACGGATTGTGAAATCTTACATAAATCGGAGCGTACAATTGTTTTACTTTCTAATTTTATTTATATTTGCAGCCCAATGGAGACATGAGGAAGCAGCCCATCCCTGTCAATCTCAATGAATCATTCGGGGAAGAAATAAATGCATTTTTAATTGATGAGAAAGAACTTCACTCATATGATGACCTTACCAAAGTAAACCCTGTGACCACTAAAACAGGTAAGAACATTCTTGTTTTATTAATGTGGTAATACAGACATACTGCAATGCACATGTTAAAGAAAAAAAAAAAAAAGAATGTCTTTTTAAAGAAAGTATATGTATGTGTGTGTATCAAGCTATTTACAAATGAAGTTTTCAATTTTGCATTTTTTTTTTCACATTTAAATGAATAAAATCTAAAATGAAAAAAGTTTTAATAATAACTGTTCATAAACTATAAATAAAAATTAGCAGGAAAATAACTAAGGGGAAGAATAAGCTAATTAGGGCTGATTGGGGTAAGGTATAGCCTAAATAAAAACAAAATATTTTTTATTTTAAAAAAATGTTTTTTCTTTTTTACTTATGGGGTTGCTTTAACTAACATATGTAGAACAAAAGTCACCCTTTGATCTGCGGTTAAATGGAACAGAGTAATACCAAAGTAATAATAATGTTACTTTGTATTTCTCTATCTTGCTGATTTTTTTAATTTTTCAGCAGCTGTAAGGCTCTGTTCACACCTAGGCATCAGCAATATCACGCATATTGGTGCACGTTTTGTCTAGCATTTAGTCTAGGGCATGGGTCTCAAAGTACCGGCCCGCGAACCGGTACTATATGGCTCGCAGCCAGCTGACAAGTCAGGCACGCTGACACATGACTTGCAGGAGCAGCTACAGTCTGCATCTCTGTTGGATGCAGACCACATAGATGCTCCTGTCAGCGCCGGCACTCACTGTTTTTTTTCGGCCGGACCTCTGACAGATCTGAGCTCCAGCCGAAAGGATGGATTAGTAAGGTCTGCACCAGACCTTTTTAATCAACCACTGGATCAACAGGGATCGTGCCTTCGCCCTACAAGAGTGTAAGCAGGTGAGGGAGTGGGGGAGTATATTATTTTATGGGGGGGCTTGGAACAGGGTAGATTTTATTTCCTGTGTCAGGAACTTGCGTCTTCCTGCAGCAGGAATACCTAATCATGCAGTTACAAAAACAATCACTCTTCTGGAAGCACAATCGTGTATTCATGGATACTGATTGATTCCTAACTGCATGTAATCATATCACATGCGGTGTGCAGGCGTTTACATGCAGCGGCTGTCACCTGATCAATAACTTGAATGGGTGACAGTTGCAGCTTGTAAACGCTTGTAACATGCGCAGACATTAACACTGGCACCCTGTATAGTTAAATTTTATTTTGAAGCATGAAATTTGGCAAGCAGCCCATACAGGACTAAAAAATTAGTCCAGTGGCCACTGTGTAAATTGACGTTGATACTCCTGGTCCTGGTATTACATGCGCGTAAATGAAGGCACATGGTTTAATGGGCAGATTAAAAGATATTGCAGTCAATAGACAAACATGCGCTTACAAAATGTGCAAAACGCTTGTGTTGTGCGTTTCCATTGAAGTCTATGTGGCCAAACGTGCTGTAATCTGCGGAAAAAAAAGCTCATGTACTTTTTCCAGTGGTCTACAGCCTGCGACAAAACGCTCAGGAGTGGACAGGGGCCATTGAAATGAATGGGATTTCTTGTGTTGCAAGTTTTGTCGGGCTTAGCTTTGAGAGTGTGAACAGGGACGATTGCAGAGAGTGACCCTTTGGTGATTATTCTGGTACCTGCTAGCAGTGGGTACAAACATCAACAATCTATATGGAGCCGTATTTGTCCTGAGTACACAGGTCATTGTCATTGTGAGGAGACGGAAAAGGAAAAGCCTATTGCTGGTGAACTAAAGTAACGCATATTTTCAAGTTGTTCGGTATTTGTGTTTTCTTCCAGTATTGAAATGTCTTCAAGCAAGATATGCAGCTGACCTGTTCTATACCAATGCTGGGTGTACAGTTATTGCAGTAAATCCTTTTCAACCAGTAAATAAATTGTACAGTAATGAAGTCATGAAGCAGTACCACAGTGCACCCCAGCCTCAGGTAATTATAAACCAACTTTTCTTTTATTCATTACAGTCAACCCATTTCAAATGACTGGTCCACCCCAAAGTAATTTAGTTGTAGGTGGTGTAGAGCCTTCTTATGGCTTCTTTTAGGCCTCCTGTCATAGTTCTTGGCTCTTTGTGAAGTCACTTTCAGAAAACCTTTCTGTATTTGTCTTGGTTGTTTTGGAACATTACTTTTTTCATGTCTGCACCACAATGTAATCATTCTTTTTTTCACCTCTAAACTAGAATGAAATATTATTTGGCAATTTGAGCCTTGTCCTTTGCTTTATTACTGCAATAACTCCGTTGTCCTCTTGTAGATATTGCTCAAAACATTATTTCTTTGTCTCTGCGCACATATTTTACCAGGAAGCCTACAGCAGGAAATGCTTACTTACCTTCCCTGTGCTATTGCATTGCTTGATCTGCTCTAAGAGACCCGTATGTAAACCCTTGTTCAGAATTCACCGGCCGAAATTCAACCAGTATGTGACCCTGTTGGCACTCTTCCATTTGACAAAAGTCAAATTTGTCCAAAGGAGCCTGTCTGAAAAATATCAGCTGCAGTCACTGTCCGGGTATTCTGACATTCAGTACACTCACCACTGTCAGAATACAATAGCCCGGCTGGGAGGGGGATACGGGAATCAAGTGTTTTTTCAACTTTTGGGTTAAAGGGACAAAATGGCCAGTGTAGGTTTCATTTTAAAAGGTGGACTTCAGGCAAAATACAAGACTTGCACATTGCCTTTTTACTCCTCAATGTATTATCACAGCAATGCCGTTGCTTTGATTGGCTACAATTCAGTACTAGGTTTCTCCTGTTGGCACTCCCGGTAAGAATCTAATTAGATTGTACAATGTCCTTTTAGATCTACCAACAGCTATGTAGTGCAATGGCCTAAATGATTGGATATAAATGTATTGGATAGATTAGGTAGGTCTTCATATTACATAGTTACAAAGTTGATTGTACAAAGATTGTATGGTCGTGTGTGTGTGTATGTCATCATCGGATCTTGACAGTGACCGTTTAAACACATGTTATTAATGATTATACTATACACTGGGGGGAATTTTATCAAATTTGGACAGAATCTGAAGCAGTTGTGCAGGGCAACCAATTAACTTCTCTCTTCAGCTTGTTCAGTTAACCTTTGAAAATGAAAGAGAGAAGCCGATTGGTTGCCATGGGCAACTGCTCCAGATCCTGTCTGCTCCAGTGTTCATAAATTCCACTCATTCTATTTTGGATATGTGTGCTGGCTAAGTAAAACATTTACTACCTTTTTTATTGATGTGGTTTTTTGTTTTGTTTTATTCGATCCTTCAGAACTATAAACCACACATCTTCACAGTTGCCGAACAAGCCTACAGAAATGTACAGTGCCAGCTTCACCCAGTAAACCAATCTATAATTGTCAGTGGGGAAAGCGGGGCTGGAAAGGTAAGAAACCTACATCCATCTCTAGTATGTAGCTCATGTTTTCATCTGTAACCTGTCAAGAGCGCAGTTATGTCATAGGAAAATATTAAAGGCTAAATTCTCTTCCTGAAAATGCTAGTTTCCTGGCAGTCAAATTTAGTGCTTTTCAACCACTGGCCTAGAACATGCGTACAGATGAGGACTTAAAACCAGTGGATTAGGATAACAGGCATCAGGCATTATCCCAAGGAGATCTTAAATGACAGCCTTTGAGGGGAATTTTATTAAGAGCGGAGCAGCTGTGCATGGCAACCAATCAGCTTCTAGCTTTAATTTTCAAAGTTTAACAGAAGACCGAAGCTTATTGGAGAAGCTGTGCTTAGTAACCAGATTCTGTCTGCTCCAGTTTTAGTAAAGTCCCCCCATTGTGACAGGAAGTGGATCTGTCCTTAAACTAAATGTCACCATGATGGAGGCTGGTAATGGCCACAGTAGTTAATTCTAGGGCAGTGTAGCACATCTCTCCAGTATCACCGTTAGCAAGGTGGCTGCCTTGGAGGTAGACTTCAGCTTGTACTGTAGATCAAATAATGGCAGCTTCCAGACAGCAAGCCTCATCTTATTTAGAAGACTGCATCCTTTCGCTCCCGCTGCAATGATTTGCCAACACTAAGAATTAGTTGTCGACCCCACAGAAGTCTGAGGATTTTGCTGGCTGCCTGCTGATTGGCATGGTGCTGACTTCTGAACATAATTTGAATAGTATCTTCAAAAAGGCATATAATCCCAATGTAATTAAAATCACAACCATATAAAAAAAGGGCATGCTACAGCTTGCGTTCACGTGTGATAAAACAGTCCCTTATCATAGAGGCATATATCACTTGAGAATCTTCAGATGTAGTTGGAAATGACGACTCCTTCCGTCAACGCATTTCGCTGTTGTGTAGCAACTCCCCCTAAGGGGGCCGCAGGAGAGGCAACAATAGTGTGCACAGGCTCCCTCACAACCAACTACCATAAATATACATGGAAACGGATAGTAATGTGTGTATAGCATATTCTAAATACTGGACTAAATAGATAATGTTAAGGGACAAGGTAAGATACTGAAATCTCAATAAGAATAGAAATTCTGAGCAGCGCATAAAAATGCCATAATGCCCATCTACATTCTGTGCAGATGCACAACAGCAACCATAGTGAGCCCCAGACCATATTTCCTAGGCATCGTTAATCTAGTATGGGAGCTTTCGTGTTACACTTTGGCCGTAGGTAGGTACATTTTAGTCTTTGGTATTTCTCACCATTACGGGCTATTGCTATTACTCCTCACCATGGCTGTAGTTGTACAGCTGCACAGAATGTAGATGGGCATTATAGCATTTTTATGCGCTGCTCAGAATTTTTATTCTTATTGTGATTTCAGTATCTTAAAAAAAAATAATAAAAGGAAACCTATTTTATTCCTGATGATTTAAACAAATGTTTTTCTCCTTTTAGACATGGACCACACGCTGCCTAATGAAGTTTTATGCTACAGTTGCTGCTAGTAATTCACAGTGGTCCAGTCAGACAGTGGAGAGAATAGAAAGCAGAGTTCTGTATTCCAATCCCCTTATGGAAGCATTTGGTAAATGTCCAATATCTTCTGATGTTCTTAGCCATTGAAAGTTGCATGTTTTTTAGATTACCTAATTTTATTATGTTTTACATGTTAATGTCACCTTACTGTAGATACTACAGGATTCTGAAAAAATATATATTTTAATTACAATTCCAGGATTCATTTGACTTCCACCTATATGATGCAGATATTAGTTTTATAAAATTAGTATAAAAAAGCTTTTGTCTGACCCCGTACCTTCTGCTTTTGTAAGCTTTGTTATTTGTGATTCAAAATACACCCATCAGGCATAAAAGGAAACCAGGAACCCTGCAGTGCCAACAAGTATTGTTGCACAGAACTGGGCATCAACACATGCTAGTAGTTCCGTTATGGACATTCCAACTTTCTAGGAGATGAAGCATAGACAAGCCAACCCCTGCATCTCTTGCTGCAGTGTCCATCAAAGTTGCTCAGGCACGAGTATTTAATTGTTGGATTGGTATTAGGGCATGACTATGCTAAGAGTTTTAAAAAGTTGTTGTATACATACTTTGGGGTATTCAGGGACATGGTGGAGTGCACTTTTAAAAAGACAGCTGCACCTGCCAGCATTGGACCCAGATCTCCTATTATGTAATTAGTTTAGTAGATTAAATCTTGTTACAGCATCAAGATGAATCCGTGAAATGTCTTGGTTATTGTTTATTTAGATCTACATCGCAAATAAGCTGCACGTCCCAGTCAGTTGTAGAAAGGGCTCCATGCGATTATCTGAACATCCGAATGCCACTGCTTGCATGGCAGTGAGAATTAATTTATCCATGAACATTTTAATATTCATTTCAGAATTCAGTTTAATGAGTTGGGTACCACTGATATTTTAATTAGGACAAGTAATAATATTCTGTGAAGATGTGAAAAAAACATTATGACATACTCCTACCACTTCCTATGTCTAGGTAATGCGTGCACTTTAAGGAACAACAACAGCAGTCGATTTGGGAAATACATTCAACTACAGTTAAGCAGGTGATTGTATCATCTAATATGAATGTATCTTTGTGTTTTAAATGTGTTTGGTGTCTAACCCTTATTGTGCTCATACAGAAAATTATCTATCTAGCATTTTATACAAACGCCCAATAATTGGCCATTCACCAAAGAATCATGGAACACCATATATTAACCCCTTCATGACTGAGCTTGTTTTTAGTTTCTGTTCGTAAATGACTGACACACTTTTGACATTTTTGCTGTGTGATTCTTCCACGTCAGTAATATACTTTCTTACAAAGTGCACCCACACATATTATATATTGTTTTTTAGAGGACAGATAGGGCTATATATTTATATCACATATGTGTGTCTAACGCCTCACTTAGCACAAATACAAATTAAAAAAAGAGGAAAAAACGTAAAAAAAAACTTTTTTTCCCAGTTTTGATTTGTAGTATTTTTTTTTTAACAAAACCAGCACAGCTAAAAAAAATGCAATACATACATTCATTTATTTGTCCCTTATTTTTAATTTTTTTACACTTTTCACTATTTTTTTCATTTATTTACACTTTTCACCTTTTTTTATACTGACAAATTGTATTTATTTAATTATATCAGGCAGTCATTGTGAATTAATCTCACTATTACTGCTTGATAAATTAATACATTTTTTTTTTTTTCAGGCTGCTTCAAACTTCAGAACAGCCGATAATAAGTTAGTGACACTGATCCTGCAGCAGTTCAGGATTCAGCTGTCAGTGAATGTTTCAGAAAACTTAAACATTCTACTTTCAAGAATAGATACATTATGTGTCTAATACATAACATTTTGTATCTATTCTTGAAAGTCAAAAGATAAAAAAAAAAAAAGCCAGTATAGCTTGAGAGAGATATCTCTCGATCTATACGAGCTGTCAGAATGCCGGCAAAAGCCGACATGTGTGTCTGCTTTGCTGTGACTCTCAGACACCCGATATTAAGGTATCGGGTGTCTGAAAAAGGTTAACCCTTTCAGTAATGGATCTCTAGATAGTTAGACATCTATTACTGAAAGGTAACCGCTGATTCTCAGCGGTTAGCAGCCTTCTAGTGCAGCAAATAACTCGTCACGTACAGTGTACGTGACGAGTCATTTGGTCCCTTTGTGGCTGGACGTACAGTGTACGTCTCCCGTCACAAAGGGGTTAAGACCACTGAGTCCAATAAATATTTTCATTGCTATTCCTCTTTAGCACGTGTTTTACCATGACAGCCTGAGAAGGTTAGATTGTTATAGAATTAGGACTACATTGTCCTAATATAGGATTACAGTGGTGTCCTCAAATGTTGAAGGGCTAAAAGAACAAGGTTCACGGAGAAAACAAATTCAGGAATTAATACTATAACCTGAAAACTTCATATTGCTTTCTCTACAGTTTATTCCTCAGTGAACAACTGTGATTTTTGCATCCAGGTTTTCCTAAACCTTAATTTATGTCACAGGTAGAGTGGATCCTACTAATAGAAGACATGAGCTTGCACTGAATCCCTGGGTCTGAGTATCTGGCCTTTTATCAGGGACCCCTGCAAGGTGATTTAGGCTTCAGTGTGTGACACCTCCAGATCCTGATCCTTAGGTTTGCCCCACTGTGGCAATGGCTGGCAGGGAAACCAAGGTGAAGAATAGGTAGGCAGAGGCATAGCCTGTAGATAAGCACATTGGAGAGGTGGAGTTCAGTTAGTATCGTACATAGGCAGAAAGCTGTAGTCAGAACGGTGTATACCAGTTTCTATGTAATATTTTAGCAGCATCTTGTGTTTGTAACCTTGCAACTATTTATAGTCATCAGAATCTTATGCAGTAGAGATCTTTACCCTTTTTATGTAAGTTGTGTTACACCAGGGAACAGGGAAGTAGCACCTTTTAAAAAGCAAGATAACTAAATGGGCTTCTGTAAAACATTGACACTGGAGTAGACATACTTATGTTTAATGGTCATATTTCTACCATAAGTCTGCAGAATGCACAATATATTGCTACACAAATCATAAAAAAAAGAATTCAAGTGAACCAGATTAAGTGCTCGGGGCTACGGTGTCCATTTACCTCACCTCGGTGGTGATATCCCTGCAATCCTTAACATCCTTAGCTAGGAATCTTCTGACACAAATGCCACAATATTGACCAGAAACTGGAACCAGTGATGGAAGAATAGGTGCTTGGATGTTTTACAAGAATGTATTGTGACAACTGGCACTGTTTAGTCTAATTATCCCCTCCCTACCATTCATCCGCCATTGTATAGAGGGTTGATGGCCATACATCCCAATCTTACACAACAAAATATTTGGTGCTGCTGGTCCTGCCACGTGAAAGAACAAGCCACATTCATGTATCTTCCTTTGTTGGTGGAAAAAAAATGTTAATGATTGCACCGGGGACAAGAGTGTCTAAGCCAGGGGTCTCAAACCTCCGGCCCTCCAGCTGTGGTGAAACTACAAATCCCATGATGCATCTCTCTTTGGGAGTCATGTCTGTGGCTGTGAGAATCTTGCAATGCCTCATGGGATTTGTAGTTCCACCACAGCTGGAGGGCCGGAGTTTTGAGACCCCTGGTCTAAGCACTATCTTGATATACCTAATATCTGACACTTCAATTGTGCATTTTAATGTGAAATACACTGAGTGGCCAGATTATTATGACCACCCCATCAGTACTTCGTTGGGCCACGAGATGACTTCGTTGGGCCGCCTCGTGAGTCCACGAGATGTTGAAAGGTGATGTGAGGAATCTGACACTGCACTGTTGCCCTTCTGTTGTCTTGTACCAGTCTTGCCACTCTCCGTTCTGCCCTAACATTGACTAGTCGCTGACGGCCACAATTCGCACGTTCAGACCCAGATTTTCGGCTGACAGTCCAGTCTTTAAACACTTTAACAACAGCTGCTCTTGAACATTTAACGAATTCTGCTGTTTTGCTGATACTCGCTCCATGGCTTGCGCCTACAATCATCCCACGCTCAAAGGCTGTTAAATCGCGTTGTTTACCCATATCTTCAGAAAAAAATCACTTCTACTGTCGTGGTAAACAACCTACTTCCCTATTTATAATGGTCTGGCCCTCTAGCAACTTCAGCGCGAAAGTATAGCTAATTTGCCTACAAACGTCAGGTGGTCGTAATTAATCTGGCCACTCGGTGTATATAGTGCAGGTCTTGTGTAACATTTTCAGTTGAATTCCAGTTTTAATGAATTATGCAGATTTTTTGATTTTATTAAAAGCCATTGTATTGGGTTCTAAAGCGCTAACTTGTTGTTTATGTGGGTTTTTTTTTCTATTAGTTAAAATGGGAAGATATTTTAACTTTGCATCTTAACATTTAAAATCCGTAGCATTATGCTTTGAGCAAGTTGTATTTTTTTTATTTTGAATATTAGAACTCAACAGATCACAGGTGCATCTATCCAGACTTACCTCCTAGAGAAGACACGTGTAGCTCATCAGGCTCCTTCAGAGAGGAACTTTCATGTATTTTATCAGGTGTGTCAAGAAAATTATTCTTCCCTAATGTTTTATTCTTTATTTTAAAAAAAATGTTTAGTTTATTGTATTCCTATGATACTATTATCAAAGAAGAACTCCGGGTACATTTTTTTAAATTTAATCTTTGCAGTGGGCTGTCTCTTCAGCCACAGCATTGGAATGTCCCTAAGCATCCTTACATCCTATACACAGTGTATAGAACGTGATGACTCAGGGACCTTGGACCGCTGCAGCAGAGGGGAAGAGACGGTTCAGGGACCGATCTAAGAGCAAGCCGGCTCCGAGGATCAGGTGAGTATAACTTTTATTTTCAGCCCTAGAACAAAATGAACACTTAACCCTTGCAGTGCATGGGTTAATAAAAAAAATGTACCTGGAGTTCTTCTTTAATTACCGTTGGTTGGATTTATAGAAAAGTGTATACATTGCTGGCAGTAACTTACCAGGTGTTTAGTTTTCATTTTTGGTTATGCTCTAAAATGAAATTAGAGCTGCACTCTGACTGGTTGTTGTCCACAGCACATATACAGTCCTAAAAGTGTGAGGATCTTCTTGTTTCAGTTCCTATATAGTATATTCATTATTTGTTTATTTTTCCCTTTCTTCAGTTTTCCAAATCAAATGTAATTTTGTAACATCTGTTTAAAAACTCATTTCAGGTTTTTAAAGGTGCTTCTCCAAATGAAAGAGAAGAATGGGATCTCCCAGAAACTGCACAGTTCTGCTGGCTCCCTAATTCTGATAAGAACCTTGAGGGTAAGAGTCATTTGATGACATTGGATTTAAAGTAAATTTCCACCTTTGCAGTCAAATTTGAGAAACCCCTGCAAGACGTTGGCACAAAGCACAGGTAAAAGATTAAAAGAAAATAATTTCTAGTTGTTTCTTTCAAGCAGGATTATACATAGAACTCAGGAGAAATGTTATCTTGTACAGAAATACAAATTTTCTTTTACATAAAACTTATTTTTTTGTTCAGTTCTGTTGGATTTGTCTCCTTTTTCTTTTTAAATATTATTTTTTTTTTCCTTTTATTTAGAGGATTGCTTTGAAGTCACTAAAGATGCAATGGCACATTTGGGCATTGATTCATCAACACAGAGTAACATATTCAAGGTCAGTTACATATTTCTTCCACCTTTCTCACATCTTTTAAGCTGTAGTGCTTTTTTTGTATTTTGAATAAATGAACTAAAATAAAGAATACAAATTTTAACAAAAAGACCTATTGTGACAGAAGGATCATTGCTTGACTGATTTGTGTATAGGGGACTTGAGTGAACAGCACAGTACAGTTGCTGTGCAGTACAGCATTGCCTTCTTAAAGTGTATTTCCACGCTTGCAGTCAAATTGGAGAGAACCCTTCTAGGGATGACCCGATGCCACTTTTTCAGGCACAAGTACATCCCTAGCGCAAGCTTCGGCGCTAGGCTTCGGGCATTTTGACAAGTACAAGTACTTGTCAAAATGCCCTGTATCGGGCCCGATTCCGATGCTAGCATCGGTATCGGGACATCCCTAAACCCTTCTGTATGTTTTGTTTTGTGTTCCTATTCATAAAGCAAACCGAAAAATAATTAAAAAAATAATTACAAAAATTATAATGATCTTTTAGATGTTTTGTTGCAGGAGGCAAGGCTGCAGAAGCCAGGGCTGTATTCATCCTGCTGTATTTTGTTGTAGTCAACAAAACCCTCACAACCACTACTAATATTACAAGGAAGAAGCAAGTAGAAATGTTAACCCTTAAGAAGCCAAGTAGAACCCCTAACCCAAATAAAAGCAATTTTAAACTGCAGGAAGCATTTTTAAATATTTTTTTCAGCTTTTGCTGTGTGAAGGCGAACATGTAACGCATATAAAATAGCTGTTATCCTAATATGGTTGCAAAAGTGGAAATACAATCTGTTTTAGTGGTGATTGCAACATCAGTAATAAACTTTTTACAGTAAACTCCATAACAAAGACTAGAGGCCACCATCTAAAATTGGTGGAGAAAAGATTTAACCACAAGGGGCGTAGGGGCTTCTTTTTAGTTAGAGAGGTAAAAGTCTGGAACTCACTGCCACAAGCAGTGGTATCTGCAGAACGTACTGCATCATTTAAAGATCAATTAGATACAGGTACTATTAGGTACAGGTACTCTTAAAAACAAGATCACTCAGGGACTCGTGTACACGCATACACATGCACATTCACACACAGACACACAAAGTTTGAACTTGATGGATTTGTGTCTTTATTTAACCTCAAATACTATGTAACTATGTAACACTTTAAAGTGAACCCATGGTTTGCTGATGCAGAGCAAAGCAACAAGTTTAATGGTAGCCACACCCACTGCACATAATTAACTTTCTTTTGCTCCATCTCCTCTCGCAGGTCTAATTGGATATTTAGAGCAAGGAGTTGCAAGGAGTTGTAGAGCTTACAAAGGGCTGAGTATTCTCTCCCCACTACCCATGTGACAGTGTTGGATGCCTGAGTGGCTTTAAAGCAGATATTTTGTCATGTTAAATTAACACCCAAATCCAAAAATAATTGCAGATAAATGCCTCATGTGATGATGTGTGGGTGCAGATTATTTTCTGGATGCAAAATAGGGTAAAGTCCAAAAATGAGACATAGAGGACACTGCTAAACTGTTTTAATCAGCCAGTTGACCTTCTTCTCTAGATTAAACAGATACAAAAGCCAAGTAATGTGTTGGCTTTAAATAGAAAGAACTGGTATTTAGAAAGTGTTAAAAACCTATAATCGGAGATATGCGAGCCAGAAACAAGTAGGCAAGTCATTTTTTTCAGAAGTAAGTGGGCAATGGCAACCAACATATATATATTTTTTTGAGACCGGTTTATGTTAAAGGGCCCGAGTAAAGAGAAGATGTGTTTGGTGAGTTGAACCATCAGTTATGATCTTATATCTAAAGACTGCTAGACTCCTTCTGCCAACCTTGGAACTTTGGGTAGTCCTGCTAAACTTTCAATATTTCTACTGCTGCATTCTCAATAATATATGATAAATAAACAAAATCCAGCCAAGCAAATAAGAATGTTATTTTATAATATGGCACCCATGTCACCCATATTGTTTCATTTTATGACAGATTTTATCAGGTCTTCTGCATCTGGGAAATGTCAGTTTCTGTGCTTCTCTGGATGAAAGCCAACCATGTGAAGTTTTAAGCAATGCTAAAGGTCAGTTCATTACTTTATTTTATTTTTTAATGTAAAAAATATTTTCAACTGAAAACCTGAAACACTGCATTTTTTTATCACACTCTTCCATTTCTATAACTACTTTTGTCTGTTGGGTTAAGCTGAAGTCACAATTTAAGAGCCATTCATGCAGGTTATTCCAAAGTGTTTACAACGTTCCCACAATTATATGCACGCTAAAGCAGAAAATATGGAACTGATATACACCAGAGCTGACCTAAACAGTCTCAGTTTACCATTATATACATGTTATATAAGTTGGTTAATCAGTAACTACCTTATCACATCATGCTGAATGAATTGATGTGAAAACTAGACTTCTTTTGGTCGTTATGTCTTTTAAAGGGTTGTTGTTTGTTTTTTTTTTTCTTCTAATTTTAAGAAAAGAAATGGAAAAAAATACAAAATAAATTTTCCAGGTGTGACCAAAAATTGTTTTAAAACAAGTGTAATTGTAGATACAAAGTAGATATTTTAATTTAAAACTTGTAGAATTTGTTACAATGCTATATCTATATTTCTGGTAGAAACCACAGTTGCATAATGCAGAGTTTTTTTGTTTTTTTTTTTAATTTAATTTAATTTACATTTAACACAACACTGAAAAAGAAAAATATAGAACTTTTGTGTAAATAAATAAAACTGAACTCTAGATATAAAATGCACATTTGAAAGCACCTCTGTAATAATACATACATTATTAAATGTATTTGTTTTAAATACAAGCAGTGTAAGTAATTGGGCTTGGGACTGGCCCAATGTTGAGATAGGGTAGGGGGAAGCAGCACAAAGAGCCAGTCAGGCATGTTGCAGTGCAAAGAGCATGCCAATAGGAGGAGAGAGTAGAGGGACAGACAAATGAGCTCATCAGTCTGCTGCTTCTGTTTTCACTATCCAGTCATAGGGTGGGGATGGGGGGGAGACATTTAAGTGAAAGATTAGGTGCAGAGAAAGTACACAGAGTGCACCAGGTGGTTATTAGTGATGGGCCGAACAGGCCAGAGTTCGGTTTGAATTCGAACTTTAGAACATCCAAAAAGTTCGAACTCGAACTCAATGCAAATCAATGGGGGTAGAACTTTCAAAAACGATTGTCCCCTTTTTAAAAGGGCTTATATGCAAGTTATTGGCCATAAAAGGTGTATGGGGATCCGGGTATTGCCCTGGGGGACAGGAATCAATAAAGAAAAAACCTTTTCAAAAATACAATTTTTAAAGGAGCAGCGATTTTAACATCACTTAACCAGTTGACATCCGCGGTTGCAATAGGTGGCGCGCGCGAGCAGGAAAAAAATGCCGTCTGGAGACGGCAGCCCGCTGATGCGAGTCTGCTGTCCGTCCGTTTTTTCTTAACGGGCGGACGGCAAGAGGTTAAAATCAGGAGTTAAATCTTAAAGGGGTATTCCAGTATCTTAACTTAACAAAAATGTATTTTTTTTGTGTATCACTCAGTTGTAGATCCTCAAATCATCTCTGAATTGGTGCTGACACTGTCCTTCCTTATGGAGGGTGGCTACTTTTGTTCCCCATGGTCCCTGTGTGTGTTGTAAAGTAGTCAAACTCGCTCGCCTGGACTACAATCTCAATACAAATTGGTAATCTAAACGGGAGATTGTAGTTCATCACGGGAGTGAGTTTGGAGCTGTGGCTACTTTACAACACACACACAGGGACCATGGGGAACAAAAGTAGGCAGCCTCCAGAAGGAAGGACAGTGTCAGCACCAATTCACAGATGATTTGATGATCTACACCTGAGTGATACACAAATAAGATACATTTTTGTTAATAGTTAAGTTACTTGAATGTATTTTTAAGATTTAACTCCTGAGTTTAGTGTCACTTTAATCTAATGATCTCCACCGTTCCAATTACTAAAGCATCATCTGGGAATATGTTTTTGCTCTTGTGGGATTGGGAAGGAATACTATTTTCTCCCTGTGTGACAAAGTTGCTAAATGTTGCTCGTGGTTTTGGATTTCTTTCCTCTGGAGCAAAAGTGGGAATGTTTTGAGAGGTTGTGCATAGAGCTGCAGCTAACGATTATTTTGGAATTTCGCATGGCGCTGTATAATGTATTATTGCTGGGATTTGTAGTCCTCTATACAGCGCAGTGCAGAATATTCGATTAATCGATTATTGAAAAAGTTGACAACTTTTTCAATAATCGATTATGTTGATTAGTTGTTGCAGCCCTAGTTGTGCATATAGATGCAAGTTTGTTACCTTATTACAATATAGGTGAAAGTCATAATGGACCGCTAGTTGAGCAAGTATTGTAAAGCATCAAAAACGTCTGATCCACGCACAGTAAAAAGTACCGATAAAGGGAAAATGATGGTGTTTTCACTTTTTTTTTTTTTTATGTACAGAAACAGTTGGCAGGTGCAGAGCTAGTGTTGGGCTCTCTTATTTGAAAGGGCAGAAAGCACTGCACACACACACACTCACACACTCACATTTGTGCCTATATAGAAAAATGTCTAACCTTGACACTTGCTGATCTTATTAGCTATTATTATGGCATAAATAATGTTTGTATGCACCAGCATGCTTTTTTTTTGGCGCAATTTTCGTGTAATTAAAATCCTTAAAAAAAAAAAAAATTTAAGTGGACTGTTACCTGTGACGGCAACCCGCAGATGCTGCAGTGCCGTCCGTCCGTTTTTTTACTACGGGCGGACGGCAAGAGGTTAAAATAAGCTAATGTTGGGGGCGCATGCGAGCAGAAAAAAATTGCCGTCTGGAGACGGCAACCCGCAGATGCTGCAGTGCCGTCCGTCCGGTTTTTTACTACAGGCGGACGGCAAGAGGTTAACATAAGCTAATGTTGTGACATGGCAATTGGGAAAAACCCCCCAAATGTTTACCTTCAAAAGCTTTGTAATTTTTATCTTCACCACTCTGATTGTGGTGGCCATTTTCAGTAAGGGCAGAGGATTATTTATTCCTTTACTTCCTGCAATTGTAAGTAAATCTTGTATTTTACATAGGACTTGCATAGGACAGGTGTTTAAGGACGAGTATTTACAGCTGCATGCACAAAGGATTTCTTTTTCTTTTTCCTGGGGAAGGGCAGGGAGGGGGGCCTACTTTAAAAGCTGTCATAAAAGTAAAGAATACATTTTCTATTTCTGTTTTCATTGAAATGCATAGGGACATTAGAAATGCTTGTTAACCATCCGCACACATATATTTTAGAGTTTATTGACTCCACTTCAAATCTGCTGAAGATTCCTGCTGAGCACCTGCTGGACAGGCTGTGCTACCGAACTATAACAGCAGGAAAACAGCAAGCATTAAAGAAGCCCTGTAAAAAGGCAGAGTGCTTCTCACGAAGGGATTGTCTGGCCAAATCTATCTATGCCAGGTGAGATACAAGACAGAGGAACTGATCATGGACATCCGGAAGGTACCTGAGCTTTTGTCTGAGAATGTCTAAAGGAAGAATTGGTCTTCAGTATAAACAGTTATATCTGTAAAAAAATAAGTCAAGGCAAACGGAATTGAGAAAGCTGGTCGGATGTCCAGTGAAACGTCGTCAAGAAAAATACAGCAAGTCCAGTTGCCTTCACCTTATTTTTTACAGATATACCATGACCTGAATGAATGAGAACCTTCACAGACAGTATAAACGGTTGTTTAAAACACTTTTATTCATAGATCTCAATGACCTGGAAGAGTACACTTGCAGGGTAGTCTTGGCACATTTTTATCATTGTTTGTTTCTTATTACTAATGAACAGCTCAGTGATTCTTACAAGTATCGTTTAAAGAATTGTAGACATTTTGGTCATGTGGAGCGTTGAGGCCCTTCTGGGACCAGGTGCTGTCCGTTATCCAGGACCTGACCATGGCGGATCTGACAAACAATCCGGCGGCATGCCTCTTACACATGTCAGCGACCCCACTAACCACTTACAGGCGCTCGCTCACACACCACCTGTTGGACGCAGCCAGGGCATCCATCCCTCTGTTGTGGAGACAACCCCACCCCCAGTCGATCGCATTATGGTTGTCCAAAGTGTGGGAGGTATGTGCCATGGAAGACTTGACGGCCACCCTCAGGAACACGGAGAAGCAGTTTTTGTCCACCTGGGGGGCTTGGATCTACTTCCAGCACTCCGACCGCTATGCAGCTCTCCTGTCTGGAGAAGCGCAAGCACTTACTCCTCTGGCCACTTCTGTCCCCCAGTAGTCGCCCTACATAGAGGGACGTAGTGAATGATATCTTACCGCCTCCCTGTAGCAAACCTAGGGGTTTCTCTCCTGGGGGGGGGAGGGGGGGCAAGTGGTCCGGGCACCTCTCTCTTTTCTCTGTCCCCCTCTACAACCTCAAACTTGTTCCCGTAAGGGAATCCTGCACTTCTATGACTTTGCCTTTCTTTGTCTGTTCTCTCTTCCTCTCTCTTTTCTCACGATACTTGCACAGATACCAAGAATTGGTCCAGCACTATTGCTGGACACACGAACTCACCTTTACTTTATATACCTGACACGGCCAAGGGACGGACAGGTGACTGCTATTGTTATCGCAGTCACCTGTCCTATGGGGTGTCGGGGCCTGAAGGTACAGACCCTATGCGGTAGTCATGGCTCTGGGAATATTCCAAGAATGTAAAGAGTGTAATTGTATGCCATGTCTCCCTATACTACTTTCTGCAATACGTGTATATTGTACTTGTTCAGACAATAAACAAATTTAAAAAAAAGAATTGTAGACAAGGAGTGGGTGTGTCAGCATAAAATTAATTACCACCCTGCCTGAAGAGCCTCTTCACCCTTCCCTGTGAAAGGGCAAAGCAAAAATCAGCCTGGTCATCATGGACTCTTTGACTGATGATCAGCCTTAGATGGTAACACAGAAACCGAGGTTAACTAAACTAAGCACAGCTCACTTTTATGACATCTGATCACCCCTTCCCCATGCAGATTAGTACTAATTGTAGGTTTGGATAATCAAACAGCTCAGCAGAATTGTACATAGGCCATTTGCCTGAACACCTGTGAAGTCTTTTAGGCATAGAGGCCATCCTAGGGTAGTTTGTCAGCTATTGAGGTATTAACAACCAGCCTCAATTCTGAGCTCAAATTTCATAGTAACCATACACCACAATCCTCAGGTGATGACTTAACCTGTAACCCTAGCTGACTATAAATCTTTTCCAAACAATCCCTATGGTTTTACTTTGCTAAAAAAATACTCCAGCCTGTTTTAAATAAAATGTATTATTTTGCTCATTAATGCTATTGGTGTGAATTTAGTTTAACAAGTAGGAATTCACCTTGAACTTCTCAGACCTTTTTTCTGGGACACACGCATCATTGGTAAACAAACTTGGAAATGCGTAACTGGGGGACAAACATTTGGGTACCTCCTGTATGGCCACAGGTTTATATAGCCACACACACACACACACCAGTCAACAGTGCATTTTACACTATTTGTCTGGTGCTTATAACGTTGGTGCATACAGCCCATTACCTGTAAGGTGTGATAAACGATGGCATAAAAAGATGTCTGTGAAAACACAGGAATCCCAAGGAAAACTAAGAATATGTGCTGACCTCCTTGTTGTAATACTGGGAAATATCCCCTTCTAGTCTTGTGACTCAAGATTTCATTTGAGTGCCATTGTTTTAAAGTGAACCTCTCAGGATGCAGAAGCATGATTAGAGTCTAATAGAAACAGTCATTACATGAAATACTTCTGCTACTATGGGGTTCAGAAGACTAGGAAAGGGTTTATCCAACAGAGCCTTGCTTTGTAAAAGTTATGGCACTTTTATTGCATTACTATTGTCCCACAACTTTCAATAATTTAAGCTGTTCTTTTATTGCAGATTATTTGACTGGCTGGTGACTGTGATAAACGAAAGCATTTGTGCCAAGTCAACTATATGGAGCAATTTTATTGGTATTGTCTTATTTTATTTGTTTGTATTTTCTTTCTTTTAATATTGCTTGTGGGGGAAAAAATGAATGTGCTAATGAATATTAATCAAGTCATCAGTTGACCATGTGGACAGTACACTAGCATGTCTGAGAAGGATTTTCTACTGTATGAGTTGTCTGTTTTTTCATTTCTTTATACACCTACAATATATAGTATTAGTTTATTTACATTTTGCCCCTTTTTGTAGGATTTCACAATAATTATATTGATGGAACTTTTTATTATCCACTGTGGCTTTTTTTCTGTACAGAGGACATTTGCATGCCTGAGAAGGGTTTACCAGTGTATGAGTTGTCTGTTTTTACATTTCTTTATACACTTGTATAGTATTAGTTTGGTTCTTTTCCTTTTTCTTTTGTTTTTAGGATTTCGCAAAAATTATATGAATATAACTTTTATTATCTGTAATGTATTCCTTATATTGTAAAGCGCTGTGCAAACTGTTGGTGCTATATAAATCCTGTATAATAATAATAATTGTCCACTGTGCTTTTTTTTTTCTGTAGAAAGATATGCAGGAAGTATTCATATGTATTTGCATATCCTTTTTGAAAATCTTGTTACTTTTGCCTCCCACAGGTTTATTGGATGTTTATGGATTTGAATCTTTCCCGCAAAACAACTTGGAACAATTGTGCATAAACTATGCCAATGAGAAACTTCAGCAGCATTTTGTAACCCACTACCTTAAAGTTCAACAGGTATATTGTATTCACTGTTGTTCTTTCCTGCAGTGTGCAGATTATTGACACTTAGATTTGGGTAGAGATTTAGTGGTAGACTCTCTATAATATTGGCTCTGTGTTGGTATTGGTGGTATATCTTATGTTGTGTGCAGCCTTCTCAATCTATTTAAATATATGCTGTTTTATGTACTTTTGTGGACATTTTACTAAATTAGATGGTAGGGCTGATTTTATGAAATTCAGAGCAATTTAAATGGGTGTAAACCCCAAACTGTTGTATGTAGCTAGCAGAAATGCCCCTTGTACTCTTTTTAATAAATGACAAAGGATGAAAGTTGTTTGATTGCTTTGGGTTCCTAAAGAAATAACTATAGCACAGCAAATGGACTTTCTCTTTTATCTACCTAGTACACGTGGAAGCAAAATTTAGAATCCAGAGAGTGCTCCTAAATGTAGTCTCTTGAACTCCACAATCGGATCGCTCTTCCATATTCTGATTCTACTGCAGCAGCCAAAGCTTGGCTGTAATCTCTAATGCCGTGTGAAAATGCACTTTCCTTATCATATACAGTATATAATAAAAGGTGTGTTTTTCCTTTTTATTTAATATAAGGGTGAGTGTTTTCCCCTTCCTCCACTTCCCTTTTCCAGAAGGGTAATAAAACTTGTGTCTTCAGATTGAACATGGTGCCAAACAGCGGTTTTGATGGTAAACTTGCAGAAAGTAACAGTGGTGTGAAGGCTGTGGTCAGCAATGGCAGGCCCCATATTTCTTTCCTCCCAGATTTGCTTTAAGGTTCTGTTCTCACTGACCAAATGCAGGTGAAAGATGGGCAATTTTCCATTGTGCTGCCAGTGCAGTTACAGACCTTTTTTTTTCCATCAGATTTGGGGGGAAAATGCACAATAAGCCTGAATGCTCTGTGTAGAGTGGTAGCTGCAGTTTTGGTCCAGTTGTGAAATATAATCCTTTATGTATCCATCCTGCACACAATTACATTGTTTTTCCTGAACACTAAATGTTCTTGGGCTTCTCACACCACCTAATTATCCCCTGGCTACCCTGTTTAACCAGGAACAGTGAACCTAGAAAGACAAAATGCATTTAAAAATGAATACTAGAGTTTACTTAGGGTTTAAATAATTGCAGTTGATATTTTATATGTAATCAAGGCCAGAAGTGGAGATTTCTCTTCCAGGAGCAACCAGCACCAACACACTTTCTACTGCTATACCCTATAACTTTGGTTAGATTCTGTGCATTTATAACTAGCTGCTTTTAAACCGATAACTTAATATGTGATTTAAGGCCATATGAAGCACTAACCTATAGCAATCAAACAAACTTCACTTTACTGGCATGAGATAATTAAAGGATAATTCCTGACTGCACTCTGATGTTTACCTTCTTAATAAGCCTGCCTGGTCAATCTAGAACAGCCTTTCTCAACCTGGGTGCCTTCTGGCTTCCTCAAGGGTGCCTAGAAATTTTCAGCCAGCAACATGTCTATCCATGAGATGGGCAGGCTGGCCACCAACATTATAGAAATTATGATTCTAATCCAGGAAGGGTGGGATCCCTTCAGAAAAGGGTGGAAGTTTGCCTCTGTCCAGGCCTGTTCCTCCTCCCGCTTTCTGCCATGCAACCACAGCTGTGGCTCCTGATGGCAGGACTCTTATGTGAAGGAGGCTTCTGATGTGAAGTGGGCTGCTGATGCGAAGGAGGAACTCTTATATGAAGGGGGGATGGGATTCTGATATAAAAAGAGGGTTCTGCCATAAAGGGGGATTTTTGTGTGAAAGGGGAGCAGTGCAGAGGTGCACATGTAATGGGCAGTCACTGAACAGTACAGGGAATTCCCCCCCACATGCAGTCCCCCCAATAAGGACATAAAAGCTAACTGAGAAGACATTATATGTAAAAAACTGTTTTATAGTTAGGACATAAACCTACTTTAAGAGTAAGAACTTATAACTGGACAACATTTACAGAGTTATTCACAAAAGGGTGAAGAGTTTGGGGAAGGCAGGAGAAGTGAACAATCTAGACCAAAATAGCTGATCTGGAAAGTGAGCTGAATTGGAGAATTTTTCCAAATCAGCAATTTTGGCCTAGATTGTTCACTTCTCCTGTCTCCTCCAAACTCTTCACCCTTTTGTGAATGACCCTGTTAGTTTGCACTTTGTATTCTAAACAATTACCATGGGGGTTTTTTTGCCATTTTATTCACTTGTTGTTCTTCTTTTTGCATCTCCATGCTGATGATCTCCTCCAGGTTCTTTTACATGTTACTGCTATTGACCAGCTTCCTGATAGCGTCAACAGTGGTCCTTGTGTGCACAATGTGTGTTTGCACAGCCACTTGTAGTTTGCATTAGCAGCATGCAAGACAGAATAACAATACAATAGCAAAACTGGGAGCTAGTTGTCACCCCATAACACAAAGTGCCTGATTATGACCCTTAATGTTAGGACTACCAGGTATTATTCTAATTAAAGCTGCAGATTTCAAAAGATTAAAAATTACTTTGGAAAATACATTAACATGTTAACGCTTAAAAGAGATGTTAGTGATTTGAGTTTAGATCTACTTTAAGTGGTAATTCTTAGGTGCTGCCAGTTGTAGCAAATTATAATTCACTCAGCTGAAAGTAGACCATTACAAGATGTATTTTGATTGTTTGCCATATTAAGCCATGCCTCTATGCCAAGACTTCTTGGTGGTGAAGAGTGCTGCTTACCTGTAAACTCTGTGAGCTAAAAGGATGACATTTTCTGTTCTGCTGTCTTCATTTATTACTGGGGACTTTTAGTAATGTTTGGACAGTGTAAAACACTATTTATTTTTGTTATAACATGCAGATCGCTTCATACTGACAGTATACTCAATAGGAATAAAAAAAGTAAAGTACATAGCTGTTGCTTATCCGACAAGTCAAAAGTTTGGGATGTTTAAAGTTTACAGTTAAATTTCTTTTTCTGTAGGATGAGTATGCAGCAGAAGGGCTGGAATGGTCCTTTATAAGTTATCAGGACAACCAAGACTGCGTAGATCTTATAGAAGGAAGTCCAGTTAGTATATTCTCTTTTCTTAATGAGGTATGTATTACAAAAAAATGCTCTCAGTATTTTTGCAAACAGCTCCACTGTAGCACTTAGGCCCCTTTCACACGAGCGGTCTGATCGGCTCTGCCTCTTAGTTTTTCAGCCGGACCTGATTAGATGCTCTATTCTGTGTAAATGGACGAGCATCCGTTTACACCCGGTTAGCCCCGGCTCCAGCTATGTCCGGAAAAACAGACGGATCAGAGATCCATTTTGGCAGACTGGACTGTGCTGGATCGGAGGTAATCTGATGTAAACAACATCAGAGTCCCCATAGACACACATGGGGTTTGGCAGTTTCAGTTTTTAAAACTGTACAGACACAAATGTCACAGTGTTGACATCCGATCCATACTGCTGTGATCAGGACAGGATCTGTTGACGGATCTTCCCCTGATTTTTTGTTTACTTTGAGCCTTGTGTGCCATATACAGTAGTACCTGAATTTGAGACTTGTTCTGGCTGTCATCCATGAGTCTTTTAGTTGTTCTTTAACCCCTTCATGACTGAGGCCCTTTTTTCATTCCCGGCGGCAAAAGTCGCCGGGGGTCTGTTTAAACAGCCCCGATGCTGGCGACGTACACTGTACGTCGTCAGTCACGAAGGGGTTAATATTATGGTTGTGAAATTGCCTAATACTTTTAGTGAGAGATACCACTTTTATATCACTGTTAAAAATGATACTAGCAGCATTTCGGTACTTGGAAATCTGGTACAAAGTTCTTTCAACATCACAGATTGTGTACTGCAAGTTCTTTGCCAACACAGCATAATAATAAGGCATCACAAATAATCACTCAATATTTAAAGCATATCTCCAGGCAAAACCTTCTTTTAGCTTTACATATAATGGTAAGCGTTGGATCCTTTGTCAGGTTTTTATTGCTCTCTAAATCCCCAGTGGGGAGTTTAATTTTTACTGATGACCATTGTCTTTGTAGGAATGCCGTTTGAATCGCTCTTCAGATGCCAGCCAGTTGCAGTCTCGGTTTGAAAAATCCCTTTCGCACAACAAGTGTTTTGGATGGGATAAATTCAGTGGAAAGCCTAACTTTATTGTATCTCACTATGCTGGGAAAGTGACATACCAGATTGAAGACCTGGTGGAAAAAAACAAGGTGCATATGATTTAGACTAATATTGCAGTACATGATGATTCACTGGTGGAAATACACCATGGACCTTGACATCTTTTCATCTGTGAAGCTTCATGGACAACAACCAGATACACTCATTGACCTTTAATATTGTATACGTCCAAGACACATTTAAGGCCGATTGAAATGTTAAGTTATTTTGTATTGGCTTGGTGCGATTAAGTATCTGAACTGTATGGTGTGTTTTTATTATTAGAGAAAGAATGGCTAATTCTTAGCTGTGTTGTCTTCTACTTTGTTGGTAACAAGAAAAGTACCAGATAACCTGAAATCTATTTTCAAACAATTTGTAAAATGCATAAAAAAGGCGCTCTATTTGTTTTGCAGTTTTTGCAAGGTTAACAAGGTTTTATTAACACTAATCACATAATATTACAATGAATATTTTGAAGCATAATTTGTACCTATAAATGTTTGCGAACATGATGACCAAAAGCCAATGATTGATTCACTTAGGCCCTTAGAGCCAGTACAGTCCCTATCCACAGTGCAAAGAAAAATACCCTGCAACACATGTAGTGAAAGTTGCAGAGTTGGTGTGGTCTCATAAATGTGTATTATCAATGGTTATTCCCTGGTGCTAGTGGTTATATGGTGGTAGTCTTCCTGTTTCTAGTAGTGATTATGGTGATTGTTATTTCTTGGGGAAATCACAGTTCCTGCCCATATCCTGACAATCCTGCTCATTCTTAAAATCATAAATGATGAACTATGCACAGAATTATTTTTCCTCCATAAACCAATTCCTTGGGTTCCCTCCAGTGCCAGTCATATAACTATATCCTTCAGCACTGGTCACACCATCTCAACGGAAAGGGTTTATTATTATTATTATTATTCAGGATTTATAGAGCGCCAACAGTTTGTGCAGCGCTTTACAATATAAGAAAGACCTTACAATTGCAATACAATTCACAGGTTATGTTTAAGCAAAACCAGCCCATCAGCAGTTTTGTCTGAACGTTGATTCTCACTGTATGATTGACTTATATGGCTTAACATGGGAGGAAAAAGGAAGGAGAAGTGGGAATAAACCCTCCGCCGGCCGTCCTCGTCCCCGGCGCTACTATAGCCTCCGGTTCACTTCCCCTGATAAATAAAATTTATCAAGGGGAGAGAGCCACAGCAACGCCGCTCTCAGGGAATCTGCCGCTCCAGGCAAACGCCTTGTTTGCCTCGCGGCAGATACGCCCCTGCCCACAGGCCAAGGCATCTATTGATGTGGTAACTGTATGGACAATAATATATATCTTTTATACTCTTCTTATAACTACAGTAGGGTTATTTTTATGTATGAAGTGTTTTATTTGCCATTCAGGATCCTGTTCCCCCAGAACTTATCCAGCTTCTGCAGGAGTCCACTGACAACTTGCTTCGAGAGCTATTTCCATCGGAAAACGGTAAACCATCTGATGTGGCCACATACAGTAGGACATCACCTACAACAGTAGTCTCTAAATTTAAGGTATGTTGCACTACTGCTACTATATAGTCTGATCTATACTAGGCATGACAATTGAAACCATTATAGACCTCCGAGTGTCCTAAATGTCTGTAGTTAACGTGGCTGTCTAGACCAACACAATTGTAGTTTAATTATTTTACATCACAAAGCCCCCTGCATCACCAACAGTACTGTTTCTGTTTTATTTCAAGGGATCGCTTGAAAGTTTAATGCACATTTTGCACAATACAACCCCACACTATATCCGATGCATTAAGCCAAATATGGGCTGCAGAGCAATGGAGTTTCGAAAGGAAGAGGTATACTATATCTGTTTTCAAAAACATATGAATTCACTGCATTATATTTCAATATAACATGTGACATGACCTAAAACATCATGCTTCAATCAAAGACTGGTGGAGATTCTCTTGTCTGTGGCGTTATCTTTTAATTATGATTTTATTGCAGGTTCTTAGTCAGCTAGAAGCTTGTGGAATTGTGGAAACTATTAACATAAGTGCAGCAGGCTTTCCTATAAGGTATGTTCTTTTTCCTGCAAGCTTTAAAGGGAAACTAAAATAGTTTTTTGGTTCATTTTATTTCAGTTATTTCTTGCACGTTTACAGGTTTATAAAATTATGTCTTATCTTTTACAATTTTATGTTTTATAAGGTCTTTGTTTTACAAATAAGGTTTTCATTGTTGATCCATGGCTATCGGCATGCAAAACTTAGGCATTCTAAGAAGAAAGTCCAGCACTGCCTGTATGCTTGTAAACAGCCTGTCTAGATTGAATAAATGAAGAAGCCTCACTATCTTATTGTCTTCTTCATCCTGTCTCCCAGGGGACAAAGTGCATGTAGCACTTTGTCCCGTGTCAGTTGCTGCTTTGTATCCAGAGCCAACATGGTCGTCAGCTTGCCCCCTGCCCCCACTGCTGTCTGACCACACAGGTCTGTAGGAGATGAATACCTAATTGCTTGTGATTCACGGCACTGGTCTCCCGCTCCAGGCATTGCAACCATTAATGCAGGGAGAGATAGCATGTTGGGACACAAACAGTACTGAAGCTCATGCACAAAGAATGTAATAAAAGATGTAAACTGGTAGTCCGGGGAGCTAAAATTGAATGTGAGAAATATATTGCCGAAGTTAGTAAAAGGAACCCCAAATTTTTTTATCAATACATAAACAGTAAAAAGGGGAGAAAGGAACAGATAGGCCCAATAAAGGACATAAATGGGTCGTTACTCACAAACGACAGGGAGAGGGCCGAGGCGCTAAATACTTTTTTCTCGTCGGTATTCACCAAGGAAAAAGACGAGTTTCATTTACATGATGAAATACAAAATTTAACAAGAAACACACCTGAGTGGTTGACTGAACCTGGGATACAACATAGGCTTAAACTACTAAATGCAAATAAAGCATTAGGACCTGATAATCTACATCCCAAGGTACTCAAAGAACTCAGCCAGGTAATAACGAGACCATTGTTCCTCATTTTTAAGGAATCCATAATGGCTGTTAGAGTGCCAAGCGACTGGCGGAGGGCTAATGTGGTACCTATATTCAAAAAAGGGTCAAAATGCCAACCGGGGAACTATAGACCGGTTAGTCTGACATGCATAGTATGTAAACTGTTAGAGGGAATTATTAAGGACTACTTAGTGGAATTCGTCCAAAATCATGGCATAATAACTGATAACCAGCATGGATTTAATAAGGATCGTTCTTGCCAAACCAACCTGCTAACCTTTTACGAAGAGGTAAGTAGAGATCTGGATGGAGGGAGGCTGATGGACGTAGTATATCTGGACTTTTCCAAAGCATTTGATACGGTGCCACATAAACGCTTGTTATACAAGCTAAGGTCTATGGGCATAGATGAATTAGTGTGCACGTGGATAGAAAACTGGCTAAAGGAACGTGCACAAAGAGTATCAGTTAATGACACATTTTCAGACTGGGCTGAAGTCAGGAGTGGCGTGCCCCAGGGTTCTGTGCTAGGCCCCATGCTTTTTAACCTGTTTATTAATGATATCGGGGAGGGAGTGAGTAGCCATGTCTCAGTGTTTGCTGATGATACGAAAATTGGGAGGGTAATGGACACGGATTTAGACATTATAACATTACAGGAGGACCTGGATAGAATCGGGGAATGGGCAACTGTATGGCAAATTAAGTTCAATGTTGATAAATGTAAGATATTGCACTTTGGAGTAAAAAATAGGCAAATGGGCTATACACTTATGGGTGTGCCACTGGGAAGTCGGAAACTGAGAAGGATTTGGGGGTCATTATAGACCGCAGATTGAAGAACAGCTCGCAGTGCCAGGCTGCTGTAAACAAAGCAAGCAGAGTCCTGTCTTGCATTAAGAAGGGAATGTATTGCAGGGACTAGTCTATAATTTTGCCACTTTACAGATCACTGGTTCGGCCACATCTGGAGTATGCGGTCCAGTTTTGGTCACCGATACTCCAGCGGAGGGCAACCAAACTCATTAAGGGATACAAGGACCTGAACTATGAAGCAAGGTTGTTAAAATTAAATATGTTCTCTTTGGAGGTTAGGAGATTAAGGGGGGACATGATTTTCTTATATAAACTGTTAAACGGCGACAGCAACATTATTAACAAACTGTTTACGGTTAGCTCCGTGACAAAGACCAGAGGGCACCACCAAAAATTGGTAGAAAAAAAATTTCAACACACGGGGCGCAAGGGGTTCTTTACAGTTAGACCGGTTAGGGTCTGGAACTCGCTGCCGCAGGAAGTGATTTCAGCAAGAGTGTGGAATCATTCAAGAAACTGCTGGACAAGTTCCTTGGGGACCATAACATACAGGGGTACCAGTACTCTTAAGAGCAAAATCACACATGGACTCATATACACGCACACACCTGCTCAAACATAAACGCATACACGCAATAGGTTGGACTTGATGGACTTACGTCTTTATTCAACCTCAAATACTATGTATACAATCATAGCAGATGGGAAAAAACTGCAGCCGATGTTGCAGTCTCAAATGACCGATCTATCTGAACCCAGAACAGTATCTGCTCACAATAGAGGGGTTATTGCTCAATAGAAGGAGTGCTAGCAACGGGGCTGGTCTTGAGCTCAACAATAGAAACACCCACAAATCCAGCTTCATGACGGGGTGGAGCTATATTAGCACAGATAAAGATGGCATAGGCTTCTTAAAAACATTCTGATATCTGCTCGGGGACTGAGCACAAAAGGGCGTGTCTTCTATCCAGGTCTATTTTCAGTCCAATAGCTGTAAGAAAGAGCATGCAGAGAGTATAGAACTCCACCTGCTGGCTGCAAGTGGTAAATGTGAAATATTTGCAAGCAGTGTTTTATATTTACCTGATTAAAAAACAAAACCTACAGGGCGGAATTTATCAAAACTGGAGCAAATAAAATCTGTAGCAGATTTGCATTGCAACCAATCAGCTTCTCTGTCTCCTTTTCAAATCTTACCTGAACAAACTGAAGAGAGATGCTGATTGGTTGCCATTGGCAACTGCTCCAGAGTCTGCCTGCTCCAGTTTTGACGAATTCCCCCCACAGTAAATTAACCCTAAAGTGTCTTTAAAACGTCCGGCACCGGTAGAGCAATGGATGCAGGGAAGAATGTTATGGTTGGTCATTGTAGAGACATCAAAAGAATTATTTAGAAATGTAAGAAGGCAAAATAGATCAGGGCAAAGAAAAGGGGTAGATTTATTTGGTACATTTCTGCTTTAAATGCAGTATGTAGAAAGAGCTGCAGACTGTATACTGTACTTAGAGGTTTTTTTACATTCATTTTTTGCTAATTTTCTTTACAAATCTCCTTCCAATTTCAAAGGATTTCTTTCCAAAGCTTTGTGGAGCGCTACGGTTTGATTGCACCCAGTCAACAAAGTATAGAAATGCAGAACCACCTAAATGGCCTTTCACCTGCTAAGAAAAGGCGAGGTAATATCATGCGTCAAAATATATTGATGTTTGTCAGGCAGACTGATTCAGTAAAGTATTGAAGAGAACACTGTTAGGAGGAAAGTGTAACAACCAACACTTTTCTAGCTTACTACATTCAGATGCATTCAGAAATGATCTCTGGTTGGTACTGTTCTTTGTTGTGCTGTAGTAAATAAGAAATGGGAACTTCAGTTCAGTTCTTTCACATTTTAAAGTGTATTTACACTTTTGCAGTAAAATGTGGGAAAGCCCCTCTATATGTTTGTTGTGTGTTCCCATTCACACAGCTAAAAACTAATTTATAAAAAACATTTCTTACCTTTTTAGATGTCTCTGTGTGGCATTCCTTCCTACAAGTAATTTCCAAGTAACAGGAAACTCTCTGTCCCCATAGAAAGACTGGGGACATAATAAACTTCCTCTCATTAACATATTGGATATTTAACCCTTTTTTAGGACAGACCGTGTTCAAATCTAGTTTATAACTGATAATGAAAACTGCCAGTACAGTACAGAAAGGGTTAATTATGTTAATACTAACCAGCCCAGCCCCCTTTGCATTCCAGATTAGTACAGAGAAAAACTTGTATTTCAGAATAGAGCATGTATTGTACAAGCAAAAAAAAAAAAAGTTATGCTATGCAAATGAGAAACATTTGACAAATATGAAATACACCCCCAATTCCCAAAAAGTTGGGACGCTGTGTAAAATCTACATAAAAACAGAATGCAATGATTTGTAAATCTCATAAACCCAGATTTTATGCACTCAAGAAAAAAGAAAACATATCAAATGTTTAAACTGAGAAAATTTACAATTTTAAGAAAAAAAATAAGGTAATCATGACATTGAGGGCAGCAACACTTCTCAAAAAAAGTTGGGACAGGGCCATGGTTACCACAGTGTAGTATCCCCTCTTCTTTTAACACTCTGTAAACATCTGGGAACTGAGGAGACTAGTTGCTGGAATTTTGGGAGAGGAATGTTGTCCCATTCTTGCCTGATAAAGAATTCAAACTGCTCAACTGTCCTGGGTGTTCTTTGTTGTATTTTTCATTTCAAGATGCCCAAATATTTTCAATTAGTAAAAGGTCAGGACTGCAGGCAGGCCAGTTAAGCACACGGACTCTTCTACTATGAAGCCATGCTGTTGTCATAGATGCAATATGCGGTTTAGCATTGTCCTGCTGAAATATGCAAGGCCTTCCCTGAAAAAGATGTCCCCTGGATGGGAGCATATGCTGCTCTAAAACCTGGATACATCTTTCAGAATTGATGGTGCCTTTCCAGATGTGCAAGCTGCTCGTTCCATACGCACTAACGCACCCCCATACCATCAGAAATGCAGGCTTTTGAACTTGGCACTAATAAGCCGGCAGGTCTCTCTCCTCTTTAGTCCAGAGAATGAGGCGCCCATGGTTGCCAAAAATGTCCAATTTCGATTCATCTGTCCACAAAACAGTTTTCCACCTGTGACAGACCATTTTAAATGAGCTTTGGCTCAGAGAAGACGGACAGACTTTTTCTTTGCATGATAGAGCTTTAACTTTCATTTTTGGATGGCACGGTGAACTGTGTTCATAAACAGTGATTTTTGGAAGTATTCCGGAGCCCATGCAGTGATGTCCATCACAGAATCATACCTGTTTTTAATGCAGTTCCGCCTGAAGGCCTGAAGATCACGGACATCCAATATTGCGTTTCTGCATTGTCCCTTGTGCACAGAAGTTTTTCCAGTTTCTCTGAATCTTTTGATGATATTATATACTGTAGATGATATATATTTAAAGTCTTTGCAATTATATATTGCGGAACATTATTCTGAAATTGCGTGACAATTTTTAGACGCAGCTTTTCAGATTGGTGAACCTCTGCCCATCTTTGTTTGTGAGATACTCTAACTCTCTAAGATGCTCTTTTTATACCCAATCATGTTACTGACCTGTTGCCAATTAACCTAATTACTTGTAAAATGTTCTTCTAGCTTTTTCTTGTTAGAACCACTTAGGCCCCTTTTGAGATGAGCAGTCCAATCAGGGCCGCCTGTCAGTTTTTCAACCGGACCCGATCGGATGCTCTTTGCAAGTCTAAAGGTAGTCGGGTTTAAACGGACGAGCATCCGTTTACAACTAGTTAGCCTGGGCTACAGCTTTGTCTAGTAAATCGGACGGATCGGATCGTGCCGCACCGGAGGTGATCTGATGTAAATGGACACATGTCCGTTTACATCAGATTCCGCATACACAGACATGGGGTCCGACACTTCGCAAGATGGAGGAAAAAACTGTATGGACCCGGATGTCACAGCAGTGACATCCTCTACTCATCAGGGCAGCACGGATCGGATCTGTTGACGGATCCTCTTCTGATCATCCCGTGTAAAAAGGGCCAGCTTTTTGTTCCCCTGTTCCAACTTTTTTGAGACGTGTTGCTGCCTTTAATTTCAAAATGACCTTATTTTTCCTTAAAATGGTAAATTTTCTCAGTTTAAACATTTGATACGTTTTCTATTTTCTAGTGTGAATAAAATATGGGTTTATGAGATTTGCAAAGCATTGTATTGTGTTTTTTATGTAGATTTTACACAGTGTCCCAACTTTTTTGGTATTGGGGCTGTGGGTGTTATCCCAGTTTGTCTGCAAAAGTGGAAATACAAAACATAAAAACACTTCTAAAAAAAAAAAAATGGAAAGCTGTCCTGTATAAAGGCACTGAACTCGCGCTATTCTTAGAAAGTGACTATTTGCTGGACCCATACAATCAACTGAAAAATAGAAACGCTAGGGGCGTATTTCTAAAATGAATGTGACGCTCAGCAAACATTCACTGGTGTTAAATCTATCGCGGTTATTTAAAACGCATGCACCTGGACACTTCACCTGGAGTGAATGTCAGATTTGTTGCTTTATAAATATGCCCCTGGGTTATATTTATATTCTGATAAAACTGTAAAGTATAACCATTCTGGAGGTAGTTGTATTGACACCTGTTTTTTCAAATATTTCAAACATACTTCTTTTTCTCTCTTTATGTTTGTCACTTTGTCTGTTTTGATTGATCTGCTTTTTGTGTCCAGTTACTAATAGATTTTTCACAAAGTGCCTATTCTAACTTTTCAGCACATTCAAATTGCATATGTATTGGTTTCTTGGGTAATGAGGGTTTCCCAAATTAGTACAACTGAGAGAATCTTCATTCTGCAAGGACTGTGTGAATTTTCCCTTGTGAATGGAAACCAGGATTAATACTTAGCACTCTTGCATTGCTGCATTGGGGTTTTCCTTTTTATTTATACTGATAGCCAGGGCTCTATTAGAGATTCACTCTCACTTCCTGTCCTGCAGACGTTTTACAAAATGGGAAATTGGGTTGCCTCGCCAACAGCAACACGGACAAATAAAAATGTTTTTCACCACCTCTGTCACATTTTTATTTGTGTCCCCCCGTTCTCTAAATTCCTGGTAAAACATTTATAGCAGGACAGGAAGTGAGGCTAAATCTCTCCAATGGAGTCCCAGATAGCAGTACGAATCCGACAGCGTTTCTAACCCCCCCTTCACTCTATCCAAAATTTAAATTATAAAAAGGACTTTGGCATGACATATACTTAAATGATTAGATAACTATATAATATGGCTTTTTAGATCTGCCTGGTATTCAGTTTTAGGGAAATTGCGGTTTGATTATACATTTTTCTTCTTGAACATGCATATGTGTAATTCATGCTGTTCTGTTCTGAATCAAACAATGCAAAGTATTCTAGTTATTCTTGTAGCACCAGATACAACTAACTTTATTTAAAGCATGAAGACTAACACAGAGAGCCAGTAAAATCTGCATGCTCGTTGCCTGACTTCTCTTGCCATACTGCCTTCTGCCACTTTCTCTTTACTGTTTTCATCTTCTTTTGTTCCTGCTTCTCTTACTAGTTACTATCCTGTGTACCTCATGAGTGGATCAAGCTGTTTTTAAAATGACATGAAGTAGAGGTAACTATTTGCCTTGACTTGTATGCGTTAAAAAAAAAAAAAAAAATCTGATAGGACTTGGGTTATTTTCTTATTGAATTTAGAGTTGCACATTCTATTTAGAGCATTTTATTTGTTATAGTATGCAGTAGATTTTGGAACATATCTGTATATCTGAGATTTAAGAAATCAAAAATGATCACCACTCAAGTGGCAAAAACTCAAATTTTTGTTAAATTGTAAATGTATGCATGTTCAGGTTACATATACTACAGGTGAAGGATGTGCTATATACGGTACATGCGCTAATTGTTTTATACAGTATAGCGTTGTACAATATCCCAAAGAAACCAGAAATCACATTTTGTTAGATTTCTCCAAATCTGTACATACACAGTCAAATTAATATAATTTAACAGCCGTCCACTGTGAGAATTGGTTAGGCAAGTACATTGCATTGCTGGCAAATGTTTATCTGATAGATGAATGTTTGACTATGTGTGGCCAGCTGAAGATACAGAAGACACATTTGCTGTAGGGTTACTGCACTCGACCACAGCTTCTACTATATACATAGATATTCCGGTGTCCATGTTAGCAGCAATGCTTGCAATACACATGGCAATTTGTAAGACATTTCAACTATCTTCCATTTACAAAACAATGGATCAACACAATGTACTGCTATGCTTGCCATATACATCGACAGAGAAGACAACCTACCACTAATAGGTCATATATTTAGGAGAACCTGAAGTTGTCATGGATTGTTAGGGTACAATGCTGCCATATTGGATTTAGGAGCTTACTGTTTATTTAAAAAAAAATACATATTTATTGGAATGCACAAAAGAGTCCCTTTTCAGATGAGCAGCCTGTACTTAAGGAGATGCTTTTGGGTCCCAAAATAGCTAGAAATGAGTACCTCTGCACTGAGAGAAATATGGTAGCCACCATTGCTAACCTGCTTCTGAAAATATTAGTTGCCTGGCTTTTTCTGCTTCCAGTGTTCTCTATATTGTCAAGGGGAATGAAGCACCAAGAAGATGAATTGATGAGCTGGTCAAGTTTAAGCAATCCTATTTACCAAAAGTTGGTATCCAGTGACTATCCCAGGCTTATCCTTTCTTTAGGGCTAACGTGTGAAAGCAGATGGACAGTTTTACACATTATCCCTGAAGTGTGATTCTGTAAGAAATTAAATGCATTTTGATTTTAACTTTTAATCAATACGATTGCTTGCACTTGATAGACTAATTTTTGGCACACCACTTTTTTCAACGTTTCACCAAAGGTCCCTCAATTAGGCAGACGGCAGCCATTGTCTAGGAGCACCCTTTTTGCCACAGTGGCTCCTCACCACATCATGAAAAAATCAGACTTCCTTTGATCTAGCACCACTCCCAACTAACCTTTTCAGTCATTTCTAAAACACTGACTTGTGACAGGTCTGCAGGTTAAAAAAATCTGAATGAAATCAGTGCTCCTAATCTGCTTACTTGTTCTGAGTCAAATATTTAGTAAGCACTAAAGCCATTGGGTCAGCACGATGGCCAAGGAACTAGGTGTTTTTTTAAAGCAATGATGCTCTCCATATTCTCTCAGTGCAGGTTTCCTTTAACCATATTTGAAATAAAAAAATTTTTGCAAACGAAATAATATACCTACTGTATGTCCTGTTAGCAACTAAAAAGTAAGCGCATTAAAATGATGCGGTATTTAGACGGTCTTTCCTTCTTTCAGGTCCTGATTTAGAGGAGGGGAGCAACGAATTGCAACTTACATCACAAAAGATACTGCAAGCTGCTTTGCCAAAATTGTATGTAGATGCTACATCAACCAACACGCTAGCCCACTGTGGTACCACAAAAGTGTTCCTCACACACTCAGTGGTAAGAAACTGTTTGTTTACTCCTTGTGTACAGTATTTTGATTGTATTTAATACATTTACTTGCAGTCATCATGCAATTAGGTCAAGAGTGTCCCAATACAACATGCAGGTGCCAGAGCTCTTCCCAGCCTTAAATGCCAACATTTCCCAAATGTTGTACCTCTCGGAGACTTCAGCCCCATTATAAATCAACCAGAATTCTGCCTAACTACAATTGCCACTGAAAAGCCAAATGATGGCATTGTACTTATTTGTTAGAAGATTGGAGATCAAACCAATAACTGTCAAAAACATCTTTGAGCTTTGTGTGAAGTGGCAGAGGCATGATATGTAACAAAGACATGTATTTCCTCAACTTAACCCACTATTTAAATTCTTCTTCTTAAAGTCTTTCACCTCTAAAAAAAAAAAGGCCCTAGTCTTTCTTTATCCAAATTTACAATCTCCTCTAGGGAGATTTTGGGATTACCAGTGGGGCTCAGTTTGGCAGAAAATGGTTTGGTTTGTCACACATTTCTATAATCTGAGTGGGCTGTGTGCTATACCATTACCCTGATTTTAAAGATTTTAGAGGGTATGAAGGTGGTTTTATACATCTCTAAAACCCCAATGCCAATGATGCACTAATATAGTGTTTGACAGGGTCAGTCCTGCTGTATGCTTTAATCAGCTATTGTTTATCAAACCTACTAGGGCTGCAACAACTAATCGATTACATTGATAATGAGAATAGTTGGCAACAATTCTCATTATGAATTAGGTGGGGGAGAGGGATTTTTTTTTTTTAATACAACCATTTGATTAATTAAAAAAATAATTGGGCAACTAATCGATTTATGAAAATAATTGTTAGCTGCAGCCCTAAAACCTACTGCTGGGTAGCTGCCAGTAGGGATCAATTGGCAAGCTAAATACATTTACTGCTACTTAAATCTGATAATCTTCAAACAAAGCTTGAAAAGGTACTTGTTTTCAGAAAGGAATCCACCTAAGACTGCAGTGTTTGTAAAATATCAGAAAAAAGGTTCCTTTTCTTTGGTAAATGCCCACAAATACATACCACTTATTTACATAGACATGTTACATTTTCCATAGAGCCAATTTTTATTTGAGTTGTTATATCCATTAAATCTTGCTTTATTATACTTGTCCTCTTTTAGCTTCTTACACTTGAATGTTTCTGCCATGCTGGCCTCAGCTTGTATGTAATAATATACTTTAATATTTAATAGATAGACGTACTTGAAAAGCAAAGGGAGCAGGCTTTCTCCCAGAGAGCATTCTGTATTCAGTGCTGCTGGAGAAGATACAGACAAAGGAAGCTGGCAAGGCAAAGGCGGGCAGCTACAGCTATTCAAGCAGGTAGTATGATGTGTGCAGTTCATCTGCATTTAGTTGCCTCTACACAAATTGCTGAGAGAGGTCTGCTGTGGTTTTTTTGTTTTTTTTTAACAGCTGAATTTGCCTAGTTATTCACCCTATGTTATATCCGTATTTATTTGACCGTTTCCCTGCTAAATATCTATCCTTATATGCACCGTCAGATCCTCTGCATCCACAATATTTACATATTTATTTCATTATTTTCTAGTTGTCAGGGGCTGGCTTACAAGGAAACACATTGAAAGAATGCTCCAGGCTGTAGCTGTCATTAAAAGGGCATGGAAGAAATGGAAGGTAATAATCTATTTAGTAATAAACATCTTAATGGCGCATAATATTCGTCCTTATTAGGATTTGTTAAAGGAATTTAAGAAATATTTAGGCTGCCATAACTAGTTTCCTGGCTGGGGTACGTCTGAGCTAGAACATGTATGCAGATCTGAAGCTCTACCTTCACGAGTAGTGATGGGCTCGGGTGTGTTCGCAGCTCCACGTGCCGAGCCCGCCAGGAAGCTGACAGCGAGCAGCGCCAATCACAGGTACTGAGACATGTTCCCGGTCCACAGCTGCAGAGATCGGGAAATGTCTCAGTACCTGTGATTGGCGCCGTCAGCTTCCAGGCGGGCTCGGCACGTGGAGCTGCGAACACGCCTAAACCCATCACTATTCACGAGCCAGCAACTAAGAAAGTAGTGAAACCATTGGTATGACGACCAGGTAACTAGTCATTAATGCAGCAATGGCAGCCTACATTTTTTCACTAAATGTGAAACTAGGATGGTTTGGGATTATTTTAGAAGTTTCTAAGTTTTATAACTAATACCTGTAAATATATTTTTGCTAAGTATATAAAATCTTTACATATAAACATTTAAAGCTCAAACATTTAGAGGTAAAACTTGTATTGAGTATGAGAAGTTAGAACCTCTGTCAACTTTTTATTGTTGTCTGTATTCTCATTTCTGAAAGTATACTTTACGTTCATTCCAGGTGATGGGTGTTAGAAGAGAAGATAAAGCTCTATGGGCATACAGACAACATTTAAAATCTAACAGAAACTTTTCCCAAACAGGGACATAAATAGCAATTAGAAGGTGACAGAAATATGATGTGCTCTTTTCAGAAAACTCTGTAAATCCTACAACAGAAACTCCTATAATAAATATTGTGTGTAATTTACACTTCAATTGATATTCTGCTAGAAAAATCTAGATACCGGTGGTAGGTGTACATTCGCCCAACGTTTCTGGTTCCAATACAATGTTTGAACTATATTATTTGTAGAGTACGTGGGACAGGCTATGGCAATTCAAATAATGATTTAGAACCAGAAGCAGCGGCGAACAAGAGTAGTACCACTGGCAGCTTGGTTTTTGCAAGGAGGTACCAATTAAAGGATTGCATGGAGATGAGCTTTGATTGCACGTTACATTTACCACCGAGACCACTGTATACTACATCTTCCTGCAGATCTTTTTTAAAGCAGAGATCCAGAGAAAAATATCTTAACCCTTGAGGGTTGAGCACTTAGAGGAGAACTATGGGGGTTAGTGCTTTTCCCCATAGTTCTCCTCAGGGTCACGGGAGGACATAACCTAGCATCCTCCCGTGACCCAAAGCTCAGTATACCGCGAGCTACAGCTCCTGGTATACTGAGACGCCGCAGCCGGGACGGATCTCGACATTGCTGTTGAGATCCACCTAGCTGTGTGATTGACAGCTGGCTCTGCCTATCTATAGGCAGAGCCAGCTGTACCCTCCCCCGTCCGTTCCGCCAGTCGGCGCTGGAGGATCGGACAGGGGAGGATCTCTGCAGGGAGCCGTGAGTGCCAGTCACGGCTCTCTGCAGGGACATGATCGAGAAGTGAGCGAGCGATGGTATGTGTCCACTCACTTCCCGATCTATTGAGCCGACCTGTGACAGTTTCAGTTTCATTGTCACACGTCGGCTCAAACTATGAGGCTGAGGGAAAATCACTCACCTCATAGTTCTCCTTTTAACCCTTGCAGTGTGGGGGTAGCCCTACTGCAAGGGGTAATAATATTTTTCCGAGTTCTTCTTCCTTAAGATGAAAAGGTAGGCATGCAATATTTGCTTGTCAAAAATATTTCTAGTTCTAAAACTCAATTTTTCTTGTAAAATTCCTTTTTAAAGAGATTAAAAAATAATGAAGTCTTGAGAAGGTTTAATTTATTTCTTGGTAGGTTTATACCTAACTGATGTCCTGTCACATAGGACTGCATAGCACGCAAGAAGTTGTACCTGTTTACAGCACAACTTTAAAATGTAAATGCTGATTGTGCATTTGTTTGGACATGTTAAAAATTGTTGCGATTTCATCAGGAAAAACTGGAAGCCATCGCGGCGGTTGAGCTGGATGATACTTCAGAGATGGAATACACACAGTCATCACCAGGGTCTCCAATTAAAGTTCTCAATGCCTCAAGAACAAATGCTATACAAGATAGCCCATTGAGCAGCAATGAAGTCTTTCAGTCCTGGATTCTTGGTTTTGTGTTGTCTCGTGCTCCACCCATCAGGAAGACTGTGATGGCTGATGGCTTTCACAGACATCTGTATCTCCTGGCATGCTTAAATGTGCTGTGCAGAAATAACGGGTACAAGGCAGAAGTAAATCGATCAGAGTATGGCATAACATCCATCCGAGCATTACCTCAGGTAAAAATGTTGTACACTTTTTAGTAGATGTTATTTTTAAGTATTTAATGCTAAAAAGGTGATTTTCAACTTTAATCCACCTCCTAGTTAAGACTCCTTTTTGGGTAGTAACACAGAGCAATCTTTTCCCCAGTGCTATTCTAAATCACAGCACCAAATGCAATTTTGTCTTCGGAAATCAGTGTAGAGAGAGAAATTAGATTTTTGTGTACAACCCATTTCTTGGAGTTCATTGAAGGACATTCAGAGATTGGGTTATGCTAAACAGTAAACAGTACAAAAGGGGTCCCCAGCACACTTTCTGGGCAGTATGTTTTGTGTCACAGATAGTGGAAAGCCCCAGGAGAGGGAAGAAGACACTATCCCTGTCGCCTGAAAAGACTGAAGGGATACAGCAGGGACTACCTGACCTCTAGAGACAGAACTGTTGATCTGCTCAGAACCCAAGTCTAGGAGGGGGAGTTGATGGGAATCCTGAAGAGCGGAAAAGAGGGAGGAATTCTTCCAATGCCCTAGACTTCCTTAATGGTGGATAAGGATAAACTCCCCATTTGATGACAGAGAAGCTAAAGGGTGCGCAAGATGTACACAATGACAAAGTATGTACTATTCCAGTGATGGCGAACCTTTTTGAGCCGGAGTGCCCAAACTGGATCACTAAACCAACTTATGTATCTCAAAGTGCCAACCCTTCAATTAGACCTGAATACTCTCAGGGGGGCTCTGCAGTTCTGAGGTGGTCTGTACGGGCTCTCGGGGGGCTGTGCGGCTCTCAGGTGGGCTCTGTGGGGTTTTTGGTGGTCTGTACAGGCTCTCAGGCGGTCTATTATGGCTTTTGGGTGGGCTCTGTGGTCCCTCAGGTGGTATGTATGGGCTCTCTGGGGGGCAGTGTGGCTCTCGGGTGGTCTATAAGGGCTTTCAGGTGGTTTATATATGGGCTCTATGTGGGGCTATTCTGCATTGCTGTATAATTATCATACTGCAATGCAGAATACCACCAGCTATGTGGGACTACAAGTCCCAGCAATACATTACAATGAAAGTCAGCACTACACAGCAGAGACGTAACTAGAAACCTAGTCTTCCCCGCAGCAATAATAATCTATTATTGCTGCGGGGAAGGGGGGCAATTATTATCGCTGCCTGGGGGAGAATTGTTTTTAGGCAGGAGTTGATTATTTGAGTTGCATTGGGTTTTGTTTTTTTATTATCACCCACTTACCCGCAGCAATAATAAATTATCCTTGGGGTAGATTAATACTGCAGTCAGGGCAGAAATTACTATTAGTTATTATGCCGGCGTATAAGACGACCCCCCACTTTTTGTGTAAAAAAATATGTTTTGGGCAGTGGCGGAACTACCGTCATAGCGACCCATGCGGGCGCTATAGGGCCCGCAACAGAGGGGGGGCCCGGTTAGGAACAGGGCTTTCAATCCCACCCGAGTCCTGGCATTGGTGCCGACTCCCAGGGCACACTACTGGAGCGGACAGGCTGACGAGCAGTCCAGTCTCCGCAACCCCAGACATTGTAGGTGGAGTCGGAGACAGCCGAATGGGTGGGGTCAGACTCCTGCTGCCTTCTCGGGATTGGTTAGCAGGAAGAGTGGGCGTGGTTTGGAGGGGGCGCAGCTGGTGACGGACGGACCTCGGGGACACCGAGAAGATCGAGGAGGGGACAGAGGTAGGGAGACATCTGCAGTCAGATAGTGGCTTGAAGTTAATGTCAATGGGGCTTGAAGTTTAAGCATTGTGCTGGCCCTGTTGCTGTATGATGCTGTGACAAGACTTCCCAGGTGTCTGCTGGCTCTCTTAGCCAGCAGACACCTGGGAGGTCTTGTATTCTACATGCTGCAGGGGTCATTAATTACTGTGCTGTGCCTGTCCTTGTCCAGCAGTACTGTCCCTGCTCTCTATCCCTGCTCACACCCAATTACAGTGCGTTCCAGAGCGGTTGCACTGTATCGCACACACCTGCGTTCTGGGGTGGGAGGGGGCGTGGCGATGCATTGAAATCAATGGCACTGCAGCCACGCCCCCTGCCCGCACTGTAGTCGCCCGCACTGGAACACGTGGCAAAACAATGCCTCTGTTCCGGTTCAGTGCTATGCTCTCCGTGTTCCTCCGCGGCAGCCGAAAATGGTAAAGTAGCCCCATCTCTTCTGCTGTCAGTTCAGCGGGGGAGAGAGGGAACTACTGTATAACTATATTAAATGGACTCGGACCGCTATCCCTGCGCACCTTTGGTAATGTGGACCTGGGCTCGCGTGCCCACTCTGGCACGCGTGCCATAGGTTCGCCACCGCTGTACTATTCACTTGCAATTGGCAGCCCCCATGTAGACTGTGCTAGGAGGTTTGTATTTCTTCTGTATTAGCCATCAGATAATTGTCTTAGTCTACATGAAAGCTGAATAGTTAGCAATGGCAGCCTCCATGTTTCACTTATGACAAGTTCCTTTTGAGGTTAGGTTAGGGGGTTAAAGTGGTTCTAAACCCTCCTGTTTTTTTTGCCTATATCTACTGCTATCAGGCAGTAGATATAGGCAAAAAGTTTGGTTTTTTTAACCGCTTTAACAGTGGTTTACACTTACCTTTTTTCGGCTGCGCGCTCCCGTCCGAGAAAACGAAACTGTTCGTGCGGCCGCAAAGCATCTTGGGGCGGGCGCATGCGCAGTTCGGATTTTTGGCCGGGAGACAAGCAGAGACGCAAGGTAAGTCTATGGACGCGTGCACCCGCCGCTGGATCAGAAGTGCCAGCAAGGACAGAGGAGTCAGCGCTGGATCGGAGAGCCGCCGCACCGCTGGAGGGACAGATGAAAACATGGGGAAAGAAGAAGATTGGATCAAGAGACATCATTTAAGGTAAGTGCTGACATTAACAATGGGGGGAGGGGAAACATGTTTTATCCTTTTTAATGTCCACTTTAAGGCTTGGGTTTAGGATGAGTGTTAATTGTTCTAGCAGAATATAGAGGATACCATTGCTGACTACCATGCTAATCCAATAGTTTCAGTAGCCACTGAGGCTCAGAAAGTACTGCAATGAGAGACAGCCAGACAAGTAGTTTTCTTAGGAGGAGGTTCGCAATGACGGCCTTCATATCTCTCTCAATAAAGGTTTCCTCTAAGCCTTTAGGCTTAGGACTAAAGAATCTTTTTTTCAACCAATTATTTAATGTGTATCTGGACCTCCTAATAGCTGGGTTAAGCTTTAGGCTAAGGGCTGGGGCTGAATTTTAGTGTTAGGTTATTGGTTATCTTTAACGCCCATGGCACAATTGCAGTCCTGTTGATGGTAATAAAGAAGGCAGAATAGATACCTGTTTTCATGTGTAGCTCCCTCACTGACCAATTGAGTGCGATAACATTCTATTACTGACGGAAATGCTGCCGAGAATGTTATTCACCACCAACACTGTGCTTGTCTGGGAGCAATGCAAGGAAACGGGAATATTGTACAGAACCCTGAATAGAGACCCTGACGCTAGTTTATTTTTGCCAGCAACAGAATCATGCATGTGTGTCCAAAATCATGTAGATTCCAACTAGCTGAATCTACCAGGCATCTCAACACTTTCTTTTCCATTTCTCCTCAGAGAGCCGTCAAGTTCCACTGCAAGAGGTCACCACTACATTTTGCCAATATATGTCCTGAGACATTTAGCTGTGGTATATCAGGATTTAATGAGATCTTGCTGGAAGAAGTCAAATGATAAACTGTGGGGATAAGCACAATTTTAATTTATTTTAAAAAAAAGTGATTTTTCAGCTCATATTTTAGAGACTTTTGACACTTTTTACACCAAATGTTCAGTGGGGTTTTTTTTCTGATCAATGTGCAATAATAATTATTATTGGATAATGCATTGTATTGTAAACAGTCTTGTAAGTATTATGTCTTTGTCCAACTGTGTGTAAGTGGGTATTTTGCACTGACTTATCTGTATGTCTACTGCAAATGAGCTAGTCCCAGTGGCAGTATAGCAGGATTGGGTTTTAGATTTCATGTTTGCCTCTGTTTTGTACCACTATCTGTCACATATATATATATATAATAAATAATTTGTTGAATATTTGTAGTTTAGAACATAAATTATACAAACAAATTGAAGATATAAACTAGAAACCCAAAGTAGAGATATGAAACAAAAATTCTAAATTACAACCAAAGGCTATTTGAACCTCAGGCACATATAAAAACACAATTGTTATCTTGACCATTGAGGGACAAAGAGATATATTTTTAACTTTTCCTGCTACCTCCCTACAGTGTCCTTGGTCACCTGCAGCCATCCAACCCTCACTACTAGTGAGCTGGGTTTGTGAGAACTCCAGGGCTGCTTACAGAGCACCAAATAGTGCCAATGTTTGGAGTCATGTTCTCTTCTGATCTTAGAGTTAATTCCAGCTTTGGAGTCCTCTTTGGCTCCGTCGGGTGCGGCTGGGTCCTGTGCCCTTTTGGCTTAAGTTTCTACTATGCTCATGCACGATTTTATAACCCAAATCAAATCGGAGAGATATCTTTGGACCCTGGGCGGGTTAGACAAATATTGAGATGGGGGTAGAAGAGTAGGTTGTCATACCCAAAAGGGATGAGAAGATTGGGTTAGAACAACAGACTGTTTCACCAGTCAGGTCCCTAGGTGTATTGTCTGTCTTTCCTGGGCCAGCAAGCTGTCAAGGGTAAAATGTGTACAATGCTCCCACCTGATCCAGAAGCTGTCTTATAATGCTGTAGGTCTAATATGGAGATTTTAGGAGAAGAGTCTCAAGGATCGGGTTCCACCTATTCCTGTCAAGGCACACACCACTAGATCTGTGAGCACCTCTTGGGCTGTTTGATGTCAAGCACCTGTTTCTTAAATTTGCAAGTCTATTTGTTCACTTTCTCTATGTTTTAACCTCATCCGATGCCAGCTTTGGGTATAAGGTCCTTCCAGCAGGTCTTTGGGCTGCATGTAGTCACCACCTTTGTTTTCTAGTGCCTGTAAGTGATTGTTTGCTGTGTTACCCACCCCCGCCTTTGGGCATTCCAAAGGTTAATGTCTTTCTGGGTCCATTTACGACAAAAGAAAATAGGATATTTATACTCACCCCAAAATACCTGGTATCCATTGCACGGCACAGGTCACTCCCCTCTGTTGATGATCATGCTCTCGGTACTTAAACTACCAGCATGCCCCAGTTCTGGGCTGGCCTACAGTCTTCATGCCAGTGTCCAACCCTCCTCTAGACAGCAGTATAAACCAAAGTCTTAATGCACCCTTCAATAGACTCCAATAAAAGGATTTTACAGAGAGTCCAAAAATCCTATTTTAGTCTAGTTATGCGTTTGTAATAAAGTGTATTTCTAATAACTGGTGATGAAAGTATCTGAATCTGTCGCAATACTTGCTTGCAGTAAACTTCCACAGTGCACAAAGTGGGAGAGGGACGTTTAATGCTAAACATCAGGATCTGCATTGCACCGTGAATATGCTTACACAACAAAAAGTGGTGGGCACACGTATTATACTTCAATGTGCTGATACTTTTCACTGTCCAGTCAACAAGTTGGAATGAGTCCTAAACAGACTGTTGTTTTTAGGTGAGAATCATTTTTCAAGTTAGAATGGTTTACAAATCTCTTTCATTTCTGTATTTAGCCGATTGCCTGGAGTTCAGCTTTTAAACAGTCCTGTCAGTGAGAAGATCCTGACCCATTCTGACCCGTCTAGACTATTGTGGTGCATGACAAAAAACAAAATTGGTGCGGCACAATTTTTTTCGACACAAGGAAGGATTACTGTGTACTGCAACATGGATGGGAAAGGGTGCCTTTGTTACCGTGACACATAGGTGTAAATAGGGCATAACGCTCTAAACCAGTCTTTCCTAAACTGTGTATCATGGTAGCAGAGGTGCAATGACACCCCCCTTGCTGCCCACACCATTTAGTGAGATTAGTGTGTTCAAATAGACGACTGACAAAATTATTGTGGTTATTCAGTTACAGATAGTTTTCTTTACAGACATTTAAACTCGAGCGCCAACATCACAAAGCTTATAAAAGTGTACGTTCTTACTGGAAGAAGACTCTTGGGACAGACCCCAGCCATTTATGGATGGCCAGCATCCCGACATTGATGTACACCACAACAACTGAAAATTGGAGTAGTTGCTGCAAACTCCCTAGGCAATAGCTAAAAAAATAAAATATCACTGATCACACTACAGCTGAGAAGGTTGTGCCATGTTATTAGTGCTGCTATTACAGTAGCAAAAACGCTTTTACAGGTTAGGTTGCACCTTAAGCCCCCTCCATCCTCTACAAAAGTCAAACTTGTAAACCAAAGATAAGCTTAACTTCTGGAGTGCCACTAAGTAGCACATGTCAAGTGCTAGCATCTATAGCAAGGAGCTGCAATGTGCAGCATTACAGAAAGTATAATAAAGATAAGCTATTGTAGAAGGGCAGAGATGGCAACTACTGGGATGGAGAACTACTGTGGCCTTGATCTTCATAGAGAAGTGAATCTGATCTTTTAAAAACAAAGAATTTTTTTAAAATTATTATTATAGTGCTTGTTTGTGTTTAGGTTAAAAAAAAAAAAAAAAAGTTATGCCCGAAGCTCCGAGCCAGCTTCTTAGACCCGTCTTTCCAAGGTCCCTTCCTCTGTGGCAGTCTAAGGTCCCACCAATCATCACATCTAAACACAGTGTATAGGCATGAGAATGTTAAGGAAGATTCCAAAGCTGCAGGGGAGAGAGGCTGGATGGAGCACTGACAGCTGACTGGCTGGCTTGGAGCTTTGGGTGAGTATATGTTAGTTTAGCACCTAGACACAAACTAGTACTTAACCCTTGCAGTACAGGGGTAGCCCCACTGCAAGGGTTAATTTAAAAAAATAATCCTGAAGCTATTCTTTAATTGTAGCAATGTTTTGCAGAAAAGGTTTCAGCATTCAACCAGAAGCTGTGTTTTTCAGTTACTGGGCACCTCTATGATATGTAATACTGGCTAGATAAATTTAAATAAATATTGCTTTATTTCACACCAGATGGAACATGGTTCTCATAAAACACATTAAACATTTTCTAAGTAAATAAAACTTTATTTTGTTTAAGTGTAACATTGTTGTTGACTGTGGATAACACTACCATATACATAAAAAAAAAGAAATTATATACATACATACACCCCAATTCAAGATCAGTCAGTCACTCTCCACATAAACTTGTTACAGTACACAACACAAAATTATGATCTGACCCGCTGAAACTCCTCGCTACTGTAAACTTTACCTGCAAATTGTCTGGATCCCCTAACATGGTTTAAGGGTGGCTCATTTCCCTTGCAGGGTCCTATGGAATTAACTGTGTGTGTGTGTGTGTGTGTGTGTGTGTGTGCGCGCTCTCCTGGCCGGGACTAGATGCGAGTGGACACGATGCATCCACACAGTTCCATTTTTGGTGTTCCTTTGTATTGCTTTTATGCAAAATTTACTTGACACTTTAGCAACAAAAAGGAAATGTGAACTTCAAGTCTTATGGTCAGGGATAAAACAATAGGGAACATTGGTTAACTGTTAGGCGACAAAGATCAGGAGCTACGTGGTAAAAATTCTTAAAGATCGCTTTAGAACTTGGGTGAATGAGCCACCCATTCAACAGATCAACAAGCTATGCTTCCAAGGGAAGATCAAGAAAGAAAACATTAAGGCACCAAAATGGAGTGTATGAAGTTTGAAAATCTTACAAGTTTTAACTGCTCAATACAGACAGAAAACACGGTGCGCTATTTACAATCAACTAGATTCAAAAAGAGATCTCAAAGTTGATCTGCATGGACATTGCAGTCCTTGCTCATTCTTGGAGCTTTTTCACAAGCACCAGATGCAATTAACATGTAGATCCTTAATGTAGGGGGATCTTAGAAAAGTGTAAGGATAAAACCTATCCTTACACTTTTCTAAGACCCCCCTACATTAAGGATCTACATGTTAATTGCAACCTACATTTTTACTCACAGTATTAGGAAGATCTCAACCCTGATAAATATCAAGGAAAATAAGACCCAAACTGAGCCACAAAATATTGTCTTTTGCCCTTATTTCCTGGTTCTATAGCCACAGTATAGTCTAGTTACCCTTCATCTTATACACATACTGCCGTCAGTCCTGCAAAATATTTTCTTTCTCCTCCGGATCTACAATGGAAAGGCATTTGTCTGCAAATTCTGCAAACAATGGTTCTTGCATATATTTCTTCAATTCTTGATCTTTGTTCTCAGCCTGGTCAAGTGCTGCTACCAGTTGTCGGAGATGTGGATTGAGTAACAAATGCTTCAACTCATCTGACTCTCCTGTAAAAAAAGGTGCAAAACAAAAAAGGAGACTCATTAGTTGTAGGACTGAATTGGAGGAGAGGTAACAAAAAATTAAAGCACTTCATTCTAAGTTACACCAACTGTCATTAAAGCTCAACTCCCACCAAAATGTTTTGGATAGTGTAGGGAAGTGTTAGAACATTCCTTTTGTGTGGGTCCCCAAGACAAAGTCAGATGAAATTTCTCCACCAAGGCACAGACAAATTAAAACCCCTATTTCAATACAGCAGGAGAAGGGATGGAAACTGCAATTCATTTTGATTATTGACTGTGGGCTTGTACACACCAGCAGCCACGCTAAACCACACGGCTGCTAGTGTGCATGTGCCCAGACAGTACCAATACCAGAACTCGAACGAACCACACTGTTTTGTTTTTTTTTTAGAACTTTATTGAAATTTCCTAAGTGACATTTAATAAAGTTCTAGGGGCTCACCTCGGCACTTTTACCGCATCTCACTGCAGTGCACTTAAAACAAAAAGAAACTGCATTTGTTTATTTGCACACCACCGTAATGCAGTGGTGTTAACTGTCACCACCCATGACAAGGCAAATTGCCTTTTCTTGCATTCGGGCTACACTGGAAAAAATGGCCAGCACAGCCTGGAGGGTCTATTCACACCACATCATCTCCAGACCAGACTGTTTCCAGACCCAAAATGCATCCTAATGTATCTCTATGCTATTTCTGGCCTCTGTTCACAGCAGCGCAGACCGTTCCAGACCAGACCAGAAAAATACTGCATGTCTCATTTTGTCTGGTCTGGAATGCACTGGAACTGCGGTAGGTTCACACTATTTCCGGACCAAATCTGGTCTGGCAAATGGTGTGAACCTGCCAACAATGCAGATGATGTGAACAAGCCCCAAATACTTCTTGGGGAAAATGTTTTCACTTGCTGCAAGGTCACTGAAAAAAAGAGGAGGGAAATAAAACCTAAAAATTGTAACCCTTCCCCACTGATTTGAACATACGCTTTCAGATCACATCCCAAGAATCCAATGTAAATGCATTTCTTAAAGTGACACTATACTCAGGAGTTAAATTTTAAAAATGTATTCAAGTACCCTAACTACTCGTATTAACAAAAATGTATGTTATTTGTGTATCACTCGGCTGTAGATCTTCAAATCATCTCTGAATTGGTGCTGACACTGTCCTTCCTTCTGGAGGGTGGCTACTTTTGTTTCCCATGGTCCCTGTGTGTTGTAAAGTAGCCACCACTCCAATGATGGGCTACAATCTCATGTTTAGTTTACTAAATTTGCATTGAGATTGTAATGTTGGTCACATTAAAAGGGACTCTAAACTCAGTAGTTCAAGCTCACTCCTGTGATGGAATACAATGTGGTACATTCACAGCAAAGGAACCATTATCTTCTCTGTGGTGAAAAGGAAACAATTACTAAATTGTTCCCACATATTCACATATACTCATGTAGGAAAACATGTGCTCTTCATCTCTCAGACATAAGCTGCTACAAGGCCCAATAATCACCTGTGTGTTTTTGTGGAAATATAATTCTGACTAAAGGTGCCCATACACTGCACGATTATCGTACGATAATCGTATGCGATCGGGTTTTCGTACGATAATCGAGCAGTGTGAACGGAGACGTGCGACCGTTTCTACTGTACGGTCGCACGTCTTCCGTCGAACCAGCATGTTCGAAAACCAGCCGGGAATCGTACGATTCTCGGCTGGTTAGAACGGTGCTCGGAAGATAAATGCTGAACGGGACGGTGTGCGCACGCGCACACTGCCCGTTCAGCATTGCGGTCATCGGAAGCCCGCCCCTCAGGAGGGCGGGCTTGCGATGATCGAGAGTGCGATCTGCCTGTCCAAGATAGGCAGATCGTACGTTTTTTTAATCCCTGTACAACCATCGCAAGACTAAAGTCTTGCGATGGTTGTAGAGTGTATGGCCACCTTTAGACTGTGAAAATCCCTTGGCTCTAAATATTATTGCAAAAAGTGACACCTGGAATTAATATGGAGTTGCAGACAACTTGCCTGTTTAAAAACAATACTATTGGTGAACAATATGGGTTACCAGTGAATTTATAAACGGAGATAAGAGTGCTTTAAATGCCTTTAACAAATTTAGGTACATTTAGATTGCAACACAATATAAAGTTCTAATTGTATGCACAAATATCAAATGTTTCTGTAATAGGTGTTTAAATTGATGGGAGGAATTGGAAGGAGTCACTTTACCTACTGTGTAGACATTTCATGCAGTTAAAGATTACTAAACCAAAGAACAGAAGTTGAATATACTGCAGATGAAGTGACTACATTAGTTCTCTTTTTTCAGGTTAAAATTCTTTTCAGCAAGTACAGTAAATAACCGTTGATCTTGTCAGAAATGCAGTGTCCTTGTAAATTCCTGTGAGCTGAATAGCTGTGATCTTTCTATTGTAACCTACTAATCTCTCCACCCCCATGTAATGGAGATTAACAAAGGTTGGCAACCATGGCCCCCTCCATAGATTCAGTGAAGGATTGAGCATAGCCATTCAGGGACAAAAATACCAGGCACAAATAAAAGGAAAGAAGTCTGAAAAAAACAAAACTAATAGGTGCACCTCATCTAGGGACCGGTAAGCTGCAATATGATAGTTTTAATCTTAGGATTTGCATTAAACAGTTTAATAAAAAAAACAAAAAAAAACTCCAAACAAGTATTACTATTTTTACGAATCTTGGTATACCAATATGAGAAGAGCATAATAAACCAATAAGTATTACCCAACATTTTCAGCTTCTGTAGAGAGACTTCATCAGATTCATCGTCAGTCAACAAATCATTGGCTAGAAGGACAGACATAAAATATCACATTTGGAGAAGCATACAAGTGTGCTTACAATTTGTAAACATTTTTTTTACTGTACAGATGTTTAACCAGTTGACATCCGCGGTGTTAAACCCCCTTCCCATCCAGGCCATTTTTCCATATTCAGCGCTGCGGTACTTTGACTGACATTTATTCAGTCATGCAGCGCTGTACTGAAATTAATTTTATACCCTTTTTTGGGGACAGATAGATCTTTCTTTTGGTGGTATTTATTTTTTTACTATATTAAGGAAAAATTACCGAAATGTTAAAAAAAAAAACAGTTTCCCCTATATTAAATGATAAAACATTTACCCAATTTTTTGGTAAAATATAAAAGACGGGGTCACGTCGGGTAAAAAGACACCAAACATGTCAAGCCTTAAAATTGCGTGCGCGCGAAACCTCAAAAAACGATAATACCCAAAATTGGCCATAGGCGACGCTTTAAAAGCTGTTACCGCTCATCAGCTTAGTGTTATCAGTGATTGATGGCCCTAAAATGATTGCTCTCACTGCGACGTTCACGGCGATATGTAACATGTGTAGCGCAATTGTCATTTTTGCGCGCTGGGGCAACGGACGCGTATTTACGTTTATAGGCGCGTGAACGTGGGGGAGTTAAATATTTTGGGGTTTTTTTTTTCCTTTTTTTTATATGTGACTTATTTTATTTTACTTTTTTATGTGTTACTTTTATTTTATTTATATTCATTTTTTTTACGAACGAGCACATATAGACGATCGGCGGGCTATGGAGCCGCTGATCGCCTATATGTGAAACACCCGGTAACGGGTGTGTGCAATGGTCGGGTCTTTTCAGCCCGTGCGTACCCGCTAGAGGGCGCGCGCGAGCAGAAAAAAAATGCCGTCTGGAGACGGCAACCCACCAATACTGCAGTGCCGTCTGTCCGTTTTTTTACAACGAGCGGACGGCAAGTGGTTAATTACACACAATAAACACCTAAATTAATGTCTGCCATTTACTCATTACTACAGTCACACATATCTATCATGCATAGACATAAGATTAGTGCCCTTCAGATTTCTGATGAAACTACCGTATTTGGCAAACAAACATGCTCTGTAACATGTTCTCCCTGAAGGGTCTTTTGGAGATGATCTACATCGGGATTTAGAGAATTTGTAAAAACATGAATAGATTTGAACTTCTACCTTTAATTTGGACTCGATGGGCGAGTCAAAATTGAAGGTGGTTTACCATGCGGGACTGCAGTCTGAGTTCTGGTAAAGCCAACTCTTTCATACGATATACAAAACCCTCTCTCTGCCAATCTGAATTTTCAGATGTCCTGGCCATTGTTAAACCAGACGTATACTCCCTTTCACTAAAAATCACTAACATGCAGTTCTGCATGCCAATATGAAATCATCTTACATTCATTAAACATTTTTCTTACAATTATTATTTTTCCATTGCCTGGTCCTGTGCCCAAGCGTTCCATCCCGGGAAGGTTACATCTCTATAGCATTGCTGGGAAATCTCATCTGTAATCTCACAAGATCTCAAGCATTATGTGCATGGTCACGCGTTTCAGGAAGTAAAGGGAGATATATTAATCTGCCCTTAGTAAAATAAAATAAAAAAAGTATGCAAAGAATAAAACGTACAGTTGTGCGCAAAAGTTTGCATACCCTGGCAGAAATCGTGGAATGTTGGCAGTGATATTGAAAATATGACGGATCATGCCAAAAAAACAAACTGTCTTTTATTGAAGGATAGTGATCATATGAAGCCATTTATCACATAGTTTTTTGGCTCCTTTTTAAATTATAATGATAACAAATCACCCAAATGGCCCTGATCAAACGTTTACATACCCTGGAATTTAGTGTCTGTGTAGAAATAGCTCTCACGTGGATGCACTGATCAGGCTAGATACTGAGCCATGGGGACAGAAACGAACTGTCAAAAGACCTGCATAGCAAGGTAATGGAACTTTATAAAGATGGAAAAGGATATATAAAGATATCCAAAGACTTGAAAATACCAGTCAGTACTGTTCAATCATTTATTAAAAAGTGGAAAATTCAGGGATCTTTTGATACCAAGCCAAGAAGGATAGTTCGGGATACAAAGAAAAACCCACTGGTAACCTCAGGAGAAATACAGGCTGCTCTGGAAAGAGACGGTGTGGTTGTTTCAAGGAGCACAATATGACGATACTTGAACAAAAATGAGGCGCATGGTCGAGTTGCCAGAAAGAAGACTTTACTATGCCAATGCCACAAAAATAGAGCTTTATGGTAACAACCATAAGCGCTATGTTTGGAGAGGGGTCAACAAGGCCTATAGCGACAAGAACACCATCCCCACTGTGAAGCATGGCGGTGGCTCACTGATGTTTCGGGGATGTGCGAGCTCTAAAGGCACGGAGAATCTTGTCAAAAACTGATGGCAAGATGAATGCAACATGTTATCAGAAAATACTGGCAGACAATTTGCATTCTTCTGCATGAAAGCTGCACATGGGCTTGTGCATAGGGTCATTGTTGTGCTGGAAAGTCCAAGGCCAAGTTGACCCTCCAGTGGTTACAGCAGAAAAAGGTGAAGGTTCTGGAGTGGCCATCCCAGTCTCCTGACCTTAATATCATCAAGCCCCTCTGGGGAGATCTCAAAATGTGCGGTTCATGCAAGACGACCAAACACTTTGTATGACCTAGAAGCATTTTGCCAAGACGAATGGACAGCTGTACCACCTGCAAGAATTCAGGCCCTCAGACCAATATTACAAAAGACTGCACGCTGTCATTGATGCTAAGGGGGCAATACACAGTATTAAGAACTCAGGGTATGCAGACTTGTGAACAGGGGTCATTTCATTTTTTATTTGTTGCCATGTTTTGTTTTAGGATTGTGCCATTCTGTTATGACCTACAGATCTCAATATGAATCCCATAAGAAATAAAAATGTGTTTTGCCTGCTCACTCATGTTTTCTTTAAAAAGGGGTTCATATATTACCAATTCTCCAAGGGTATGCATCATGCGGGACTGCAGTCTGAGTTCTGGTAAAGCCAACTCTTTCATACGATATACAAAACCCTCTCTCTGCCAATCTGAATTTTCAGATGTCCTGGCCATTGTTAAACCAGACGTATACTCCCTTTCACTAAAAATCACTAACATGCAGTTCTGCATGCCAATATGAAATCATCTTACATTCATTAAACATTTTTCTTACAATTATTATTTTTCCATTGCCTGGTCCTGTGCCCAAGCGTTCCATCCCGGGAAGGTTACATCTCTATAGCATTGCTGGGAAATCTCATCTGTAATCTCACAAGATCTCAAGCATTATGTGCATGGTCACGCGTTTCAGGAAGTAAAGGGAGATATATTAATCTGCCCTTAGTAAAATAAAATAAAAAAAGTATGCAAAGAATAAAACGTACAGTTGTGCGCAAAAGTTTGCATACCCTGGCAGAAATCGTGGAATGTTGGCAGTGATATTGAAAATATGACGGATCATGCCAAAAAAACAAACTGTCTTTTATTGAAGGATAGTGATCATATGAAGCCATTTATCACATAGTTTTTTGGCTCCTTTTTAAATTATAATGATAACAAATCACCCAAATGGCCCTGATCAAACGTTTACATACCCTGGAATTTAGTGTCTGTGTAGAAATAGCTCTCACGTGGATGCACTGATCAGGCTAGATACTGAGCCATGGGGACAGAAACGAACTGTCAAAAGACCTGCATAGCAAGGTAATGGAACTTTATAAAGATGGAAAAGGATATATAAAGATATCCAAAGACTTGAAAATACCAGTCAGTACTGTTCAATCATTTATTAAAAAGTGGAAAATTCAGGGATCTTTTGATACCAAGCCAAGAAGGATAGTTCGGGATACAAAGAAAAACCCACTGGTAACCTCAGGAGAAATACAGGCTGCTCTGGAAAGAGACGGTGTGGTTGTTTCAAGGAGCACAATATGACGATACTTGAACAAAAATGAGGCGCATGGTCGAGTTGCCAGAAAGAAGACTTTACTATGCCAATGCCACAAAAATAGAGCTTTATGGTAACAACCATAAGCGCTATGTTTGGAGAGGGGTCAACAAGGCCTATAGCGACAAGAACACCATCCCCACTGTGAAGCATGGCGGTGGCTCACTGATGTTTCGGGGATGTGCGAGCTCTAAAGGCACGGAGAATCTTGTCAAAAACTGATGGCAAGATGAATGCAACATGTTATCAGAAAATACTGGCAGACAATTTGCATTCTTCTGCATGAAAGCTGCACATGGGCTTGTGCATAGGGTCATTGTTGTGCTGGAAAGTCCAAGGCCAAGTTGACCCTCCAGTGGTTACAGCAGAAAAAGGTGAAGGTTCTGGAGTGGCCATCCCAGTCTCCTGACCTTAATATCATCAAGCCCCTCTGGGGAGATCTCAAAATGTGCGGTTCATGCAAGACGACCAAACACTTTGTATGACCTAGAAGCATTTTGCCAAGACGAATGGACAGCTGTACCACCTGCAAGAATTCAGGCCCTCAGACCAATATTACAAAAGACTGCACGCTGTCATTGATGCTAAGGGGGCAATACACAGTATTAAGAACTCAGGGTATGCAGACTTGTGAACAGGGGTCATTTCATTTTTTATTTGTTGCCATGTTTTGTTTTAGGATTGTGCCATTCTGTTATGACCTACAGATCTCAATATGAATCCCATAAGAAATAAAAATGTGTTTTGCCTGCTCACTCATGTTTTCTTTAAAAAGGGGTTCATATATTACCAATTCTCCAAGGGTATGCAAACTTTTGAGCACAACTGTAACTGTTTATAGATTGTCATTACTACACATTTCTAAAAAGGTGTATTTTTTGCCATTTCAAAAGATAAGGGTAAAGTTCCTCTTCAAAACAAAGGATACAAAAGCATTGGATGGACCCAAAAAGTGCTCCGTGCCAACAACTTTTCTTTGCTCTTACTACTTCAGATCATTTGTACTGTTTTGTAAGTAGTTTGCAATATGATTACCTTTGCTCTGCTGTGGTCTGCCTCTTGAAAGAACTGGAAATGAAGCTTCTGTAGATGCTGTGGCTTCTTTTGGAACACATGTCTCTACAAAATAATACACATACTTACAGATAGAAAGCTAAACATTTGCAACTGGACCTTTCAACCTTGTATTCCCAGATCAACAAAAGCCAAACAACTACAAAGTCCTACACACGTTATATCAAAATGGATATTTATTTGTATCTACAGCAAGAAGCTGTACTCAAAGTTGCATCCCCCCCAGGCTGGTCATCAATTTAAATCTTTATAGCATAGTTAAGAACAAGCAAATAGTTAAGAACAAGCTAAGCAAATCTGGCTACACAGCATTACGCGACTGCTCAGCATGACCCTTCTTTACTCTATAAAGCCAAGTTCACTGGCGGAGTGGCAGTGAGCCAAGTATTTAATGTAAAGTGCACACAGTCCAGAGGGTCCGATAGCAAGATCTTCCTGCAAGGTTCCATGATAAATGTTGGTGGAAGTCTCAGACATGGATAGATGGATACCAACTGAAGCCAGATTTATTAAACTATCCAGAAAACCCGTGCTCTATCCATGCTTTAATCCTGCACATGCTTCAGCCAAAGGAAAAATATTTGTGTGCTTCTGCAGGAAGGGGGTGGGTTTAGGTGGAATTATTTTCTGCAATGGGTAAAGCATAGGTCTACTAAAAGAACTCTAGGCAAAACTAACTCTTGCAGTGGGGCTACCCCTGCACTGCAAGGGATAACTGCTTGTTTTGCTCGGAAAGAAAAAAGTTATACCTAATCCTCGGAGACGGCTTGCTCTAAGACCAGCCCTTTCAGTATCTTTTCGCCTCCTGTGCAGTAATCTAAGGTCCCCGACTCATCACGTTCTATACATCTCCACCTCTGGTGGAACAGAAAGGCTGCAGGGAGCGCTCAGAGGATTAGGCGAGTTTGTTTCCTCCCTAGCCCAAAACAAGCAGTTAACCCCTGCAATGTAGGCTCAATGCAAAGGTTAATAAATGTTTTGCCCAGAGTTCTTCTTTAAAGCGGTACATCAGGGGCCCCCCAAATCAGTAATTTACCGACCGCAATTTCCTCAGTACTTTTTTATATCCTGTGCATTAAATTGTCCCACAAGAATGAATGTCAGCACATGAATAAATAATTATGAAGAATGAAACCCACTGTTTTGTGCAACCTTACACACTGGCGGCCAAAAGAGCAGATACCACCATCCACTCTGTACGGTACACTGCACTGTTTAGTCTATGCTGTGCCTGCATTTTCTAATTCACTCATAATATGATGGCTGTGATGTGGAGCCTGCAGTGTCTCATGGTGTTTTCTCTACACCAGTCTTCTCCCACCAGTGAGAAACCCCCCACTGGTGGGAGAAGACAGAGAACCCTATATAAGGGCACAGAATCTCCTCCCCAATGTCGGGAAAAGGCCCCGAAGGTACCTGCACCCTCAGTCATCTGTGGGTCAAAATTTTCAATCAAAAAGTGCCAATCGTGCAATAAATAAATCTAAAGTGTCAGTGCACCACGCTGACAGGCCTTAGGGGCCGGAGTGCAGAAATATTGCCCCGGACTAGCCATAAGGCCTGTCCAAGAGGCGTTGTGCAGAGTATGCAATGAGCGCCGTGTCCACGTGTCAGTGAATCAGTGTTGGAGTCCCACACCCAAGTGATTCTCTGGCACCCCTGGGACGCCACCCCCAGGGGGCATGGCACCACGGGCTCCGCCGCCTCCCGAACCCCCCAGCCAGACCAAGTGATTCTCCATTCCCATTTGAAGGTAGCATCTTCAGGGGCCCTCCCACTGTCTGGGGTCTACCCGTACTGCGGGCCTGACGCAACCAGCAGTGGACCGAACCCCATCCGACACCCACCAATTACGCCAGAGGGTACTAGGACACATCCGCCACTATTCATAGACGGCAGCATCCTTTCCCCTCCGGCAACTGATAAGAACAGATACTACACTTGATACTACACTTGATCTTAGCCAAAAGGCCGAGAAGCGATTGATGTGCTTTATATATTTGTGTATTTTTTCTAATGCCATACCCGTGATAAGGCCATAGCCAGTTTCGCCTGGTTCCTGATTAACCAGCCGAAATGCAAGCTGTGGGTGGCCCTGTTGGTACTTCTCCACTTTTGTCAATGGAGCCAGTCCAAAAATCTTTGGCTGGACAGTGTCTGCATCCAATCAGATGTAGGCACTGTGTATTCAGAAGCTGCCCCTACAGATCAATGGGTGTTAAATGGGGATACACTTGTATTGAAGCTTGAAAATGGAAGTGATGTCACGTTAACATATACATCTGCATGTGTATAGATGTTAACACAGCCTTCACCTTAAACTCAGAGAATAAAAAATAAATATGATTACCTTTATGTGTCTTGCAGCAAGACAAGGAGCAACTGTGTTAAAACAACAAAACAACAAACAGTTACTAAAACACAAATGATGAACAGCTTTTATCCAAACAATTAGGAAATTCTAATAATAACACAGCGGTTTAAAAGTAAAAAGCAAAAGATGACAAGAAAAAATCGTTTGGACTATTTAACAAGCAAACCACAACCTGATCCTTGAAGAGCACTGTATTATTCTGTAGCCACTTTATGACATAAAAAGGAGAACTCTGGCAGAAATGTTATTAACCCCTACAGTGGGGCTACACCATACACTGCAAGGGTTAAGTGCTCATTTTTGCCTAGGGGTAAAAGAAGAAAATAAATGGCTTTTTAATGGCTGTCGGCTCCCTTTCAGCCGGCATTCCTCGATCAGCTGATTGAAGGGGCCTGTTGGAAAATCTTTGTATGATCAAAGCCGGCAGCCAATAAGCTGCCCGCTCTGACCGGGTATTCTGGCAGGTACCTATGGCACCCGTCAGAATGCAATGCAAACAGCGGCAATTTCTCGATCGACACGCTGTTTGTGCTGATGGAGGAAATCGGGTCAATTTTTTTCGTTCAGCCCGCGGGTTGAAGGAAAAAGATTGATAGGTGTATGGCCAGCCTTAGACGGGTCCCTAGAGAGTCTTTCCCCTTCCGCTGCAGCTGTCTAGGAATTACCACATTCAATACAGTGTATAGGATGTGACGAGACCAAGGGACATACCATCGCTGCAACAGAGGAGAGAGGCAGAAGGGAGCACTGCTGGCTCCAAGGATCAGGTGAGCATAAGTTTTTTTTGGACCCAATGCAAAAAAAAGAGCATTCAACCCTTGCAGTGCAGGAGTAGCCCCACTGCAAGGGTTAATATAATTTCAGCCTTAACAGCAGCACTCCCCACCCATTTGTGATGTGTAGCTGGAGGGCGGGATGAAGTCTTCTGTAACTGATTGGGCCAGGACGGGGGGACAGTCACAGTTTTGAGCAGGCTAAGGCAAACTCAGGTGAACAACCGGCCCAATCAGCTGTGGCGTGGGCATTACACATAAAGGAGCCATGAACGCCCTGGTCGCAGCTGATAGGGCTGGGTGTCACCAACAGTGTTGCGTGGGTTCACATAAGCAAACACACATCCCTAGTCATGACAGTCTGCTGTCCCATGCTGCATGTTTGCTTCAGCTCTTTAGCTAGGTTTGAAATGACAGCCTACACCTTTAAAACAACTCAGCAATGGTAGCCCCCCATCCTTCACTCCCTTTATGAACACAACCTCAGTGTTATAACATGAGAAGAGGCCAACAAGAGCGCAGTCACCACTTACTAGCGAACCCGGCACCGGGGACAACGATACTTCACACTGCTCGCACTACACACACAACACGAGGCTTCCATCATAGCACTCAGCACACCGGGATATGCAGGAGTCACACTGCGCAGGCGCACCCAGAGGCGCTGTCGTGACGTCTCATCCACCGGGGCGGGGCTAAGAGTGTACGTTTTACTGCCAGCAGAGGGAGCAACGAAGGGGAATTTCTTCATTGAACGGGTTACGATGTATGAGGCGATGTATGTGTGAACGGCTAGAGCTTGCCCAACTACCAAGAACGGCCACTGATGCTGGAGGTTGTTTCCCTGCCGAGAAGAGCCTTGCTTTTCACTATAAAGTGCATATTGTAATGTGCTTTATTCAGTTCATAGGCCCATTCATACCGTAACCAAACCAAGAGTCGCTGCAGTGCATGGAAATAGCATGCACATTAACACACGTTGGCATGCTCATTGTGTGTGTTAAAGAGGAACTGCAGCTGGTGACAAAATGAACCCTTGCAGTGGGGCTATCTGCCATATTTTGGGTCTAGGGGCCTCATTCAGAAGATACCTCATCCTCGGTCCTGTGGCAGTCAGCGTTCCCCTCCCCTCTGCTCCAACTGTGGTATGTTATTATTATTATACAGGATTTATATAGCACCAACAGTTTGCACAGCACTATGTCCCTTGAAGTCCTCACATGCAATGCAGGTGAATGAACTGTATTGGACGTGATGATGTCACAGATCCATAGACCAGTGCCGGGAGCCGCTATCTAATAGCGGGAGACTCCCGGAGCTTCCGGGAGAGTTGAGATGTCTGAGTATTTAACCCTTTTTTTTCTGTCACAGCACCCTTGAAAAATGCAACATCTCAAGGCACCCCAGTCAAAAATGTGGTCCCTCCCTCCATCCAAAATAGGGGTCTGGTATACATTTTAAGGGGGACGCCAAGCAAAACACAAAAAATGGGGTTTCCCTATTTATATCAGAGTGCCCCCTTTACATTAGGAGCCCCTACTAGCTTACACTTGAAGCCCCCCCTTTACATTGGAGCCCCCTTTCATATACGAGTCCCCAATTTCACATTAAAGTTTCCCCTTCACATCAGGAGCCTTCCTGCACCATGCAAAGGCATACCACTGTGAACATTTTGAGGCATCTCTGAGGAAGACAGAAGACACCCCAGAGTGCCATGGCACTCTGTTTGAGAATGGCTGCCAAAGCCCAGGGGAGAAGAGGGTGCAGGGTCCTGTCTTGCAGCCAGGTGGGATCAAGGATTGGGTGAGTAGATCTTCTTTAATCCATCTCCTAGAC